CTTTACAGCTTTGTTGCGTTTTTTATTTCTTTATATTTCTGCGTTAATTTTTGCCTTTATTTTTCGAGTTTGGCGAAAGAAAGAGAAAACTTTCTCCCGCCGCCTGTCGTGCCAACAAAGGCAGAAGATAGCCCCCAGACAGAGACGGGCTCTGTGGAGGGAAAGAGACGGGCGAAAAATTAACAACAAGCTGATGATTTACTGCCAAAGGAGAAGAAACGATCATTGCTGGGTATTCCGAGTTATTTATTTATTTATTTATCTCGCCGGAGAGGGGCCAGAGAAGCATCAGCAAAGGTGTCGCCGGAAATTGAACTTTTAACACTCGGAAATAGGAATGAATACGAAAAAGAAAACACAGTGTCATCCTCCCAAAAGCGAAAATCTATTAAAGAGTTATGCCAACAAAGTATTGATAGAAATTCTAAGAAATCTATATGAAGTTATTGGATAGCTAAAAATCGGATAGTTTTAGGCTTAATATAAAAGTATCTAAGTAGCTAATAATACTTGTATAATAAATATAGGAAATAAGCTTTATAAGAGCTGTAAGTCTTGATAGTTTCTATCTATATCTTAAGCCCATATTAAAGTATATAATTATCCAAATCTTTAAGTTGTATCTGCAACTGCTCTGCTCTTTATCTAAGGTACTGGGCAACCTGTTATGATAAATCACCTAAAACATGGCCGGCAGATAAGGGCCAGACCCCCGGGAGACTCCAGACTCCGACCCAGAGTCTTGCAAATCCCAAGACCCAGACCTGTCGTATCTCTGAGCTCCCAGCTTGTATTCAATCAATCACGTCTCGCTTATCGCCCACTCAGCATGACACAAAAACGGAGAAATGAAGAAGCTGGCAAAAATATGGAAAACAAAGGGCATTCGAGCCAAGTCCATGACCACAGACAGACATTACGGCCCCCGTTTAATCAGCACCATTTCGATTATTATGCAAAACGGCAATGAAAGCACGCTCGCAATAGCCGAAACAATTTCAAAAACACACATATTTGGGAAACAATGAGCAGTGGACACAAAAAATAACAATTATATTTCAGTAAACAAAAACAGAAAAAACCCAAGCAAGTGCGTGCCTTGGAAATGCTCAACAGTTGGAGGAAAAGTGGAAAGTTGCCCGCTCGAGCTTTATGTGCATAATTATAGAGTTCAGTGTAGTTTATTTCTTTTTTTTTCAGTTTTATTCAATACTGCGTAACCCCAAGCTGCCGCATGCCGCATGCCGCTTGCCACCTGCCACCTACCCGCCTGACAAACCCCCCAAAGTTCGTGCCAAAATGCAGTTTTCCATTTACAAACTTCTTGTTTGTTGACTTGATTTGCCTTTTGTTTGGCTTGTTTGCTTTCGGCACGTTGCTAATAAAGCAACTATGCTAACGAAAACTGAAAAATAGCTTAAAAAATTGCATAAAACGAATGAAAATTGTTGAAAATAAAATGCTCATATTTGTGCCATTGGTTCGAACGAGTTTTTGTGAAAGTATCTAGTGGATAGCTAGTCGTAGTTAATACGAATTTTACAGCCACCCCCTGTCCACGTTTCCAACTTGCCGGCACGATTTCGACCAAAAGGCGTGTTTATGGCGAAAAAGATTTTATTTATTTAACTTAATAGTTAATAATAAAGTATTAGAGACAAAACAATATTTTTCTGTGTGTATGGGATGGGCCAGCAAGCCCCCTGGCGCTGGAACACGTTTTTCTGTGGCAATTTCTGTTTCGCCTTTTTTTTTCTGCCATGGCTGTCTCCTCTTGCCACTTTATTGACAATTTCTTTTTTTTTCGCGAACGTGCGTAGCTATTGTCGCTGATTGTGGAAAACCAAACCGCATACACATACTAGAAGACCTCAGAGCACAGGGCCATAAATACACGTTTACAAACCACCGGCCACCGGCTGCGTCGCATAATGAAATGCGAATTTCATTCATGGCAATTGGTTATGAGTTACGTCTTATGGCCCATAGGAAGGGGGGGTTTTCTATGGCTGGGCAATTAAGAAACTGCAATACAGGACACCATCAATGGCACCAAGTCGTTGTAAGTAAAAATAACACAACACGTCGGATTCCCATTCTGTTTCAGGGATGAACAATATTTTTTTCTAAAAATAAGCAACTAAAATTAAATAGAATCTGAACAACTGCCAGCAGTTTGAGTCATTGGGAAATTCCAATAGGCGCCCTGTTGCAGATTTTGAATCATCTTACTCGGAATCATTGGCTTTGTCCAGATCGATCGAACCTTTATTACCTAACGTGGCTCGAATTACTTTTACCTGCATTCCTATGACTTCCCAAGACACTCGTATTTATAACAAAAAAATTGCCACTAAGCCAGGTTACAGAATTATTGGAAAAAAAAGAGTTATAAAGGAGATCAAATAACTTAAATATTGCCAGAAAAAAAACACATCCGCTGTTTTTCCCTAAAATTCATAATTTTTAAAGTCAAATACACTCCAAATTATCCGCGAGGTGTTTACGCAAACGGGCGCACAAAAAACAACAAATGCGAGAAACAGCAACCGAAACCGAAACTCTGGCTTTAACGCAAAAATTTCACAGAGTCAGCACTGGTAACTGGTAACTTAAAAAAAAAACCCAAAATATGCCAGACGAGTAATAATTATCCAAAGAAATTATAGCCCCCTCTTATAGCTCCCCTGCGAGTGTACGAGTGTGTGTGATTGCATTGGTGAAATGCGAAACTGCCAAGGTGCTCCAAGGTGCTAAAAGTTATGCTGCCAGACAGCGGATTATGAAATATGGAATGCCTGCCCCCAAATACAGGTAGGGTATCAGCGGACAGATTGAGGATTTTGGACCCTGTATCTGTGCCTTTCAAGGGTATTTCTGGGGAGAGTATTTCTGTGAGCTTGTGGTATTTGGTAATTTTGAAGCTAATATTATTAATTCTTCATAAACTGCTATATTTGATGAACCTATTTTTGAGTAGACAACCAATTATGGAACAAAGTTTAAACATTTTTAAACTATGGAATGGTATTATACGATTTTGGACCCTGTCTCCTAACTTTTTAAAGGAGTTTCTGAAGAGAGTATTTCTGTAAGCTGCACCCCCAAACTTTTCAATTTAATATTTTATCCAGAAACTAATCGATATTTATTAAAGTTCTCTTTTTCCGAAAAAAGTAATACTTTAATAAACAAACAGTAGTCCTATAAAGTTTCAGAAAAAACTCCAAATAAACCCTACCTTTCTTAAAAACCCAGAATCCCCCAAACATTTATTATTTCCAATAAATAGCTACCAGTAATCGGTATTTTTTAGTTGGAAAAAACTGAAACTCCTGCCGTTCTAACCAGCTTTGGCCTGGCTCTGGCCTGGCATTTTTTCAGGCTATCATCGATCGTGGTATTAGCCGCAGCTTGTTAACTCGTTTTGCAGTTTGTGGAAAAGAAAAAGGGAATGCAAAAGGCTCTCTCCGAGCTATGAACCCCATTAATGCAGCCTGTTGTTACTGTTGCTGTTTTGGATGATGATGTACGATGGTGTAACTTACCCGGGCTGTTTGCAATCCGTATTGTTGTTAGTATTTCTTGGTAGATGATGCAGTTGCTGTTTCTTCTGTTTTTGTTATAGTTGTTGTTGTTGCGGTTTCAATTGACTGACAGTCGTCGGTTTGGGGGCGTTTCAGGTATCAGTGCGTTTTCCAGTCAGCTTTTTGCGGCTTTTGAATGATTTAGATTTTAGCCAGGGTTCGCGATTTCCTCTATACTGGCACTATATTCACTTTAAAAAATGAAACTTTCCCGTGATTCACTTGGACACTACCCTTCTGTTATTTACTCGGCACTATTTGCTTGTTAATTGGTTTCGTTGTTTGCTAAATATCGGTCGAAGTATTATTCTTTTCAATATTTTTTTTCTTTTTCTTGTTTGGTTTTGGTTTTGATCGTTTAGAAAGTGGGTTAACTGACAGAGCGCGTCTTAGTAACGCTTTATGCAAATTGCAGATGTGTTTCGGCGTGATTCAAGATTTCAGATTCGATTCAAGATTCATGTGTTTCGATTTTTTCGGCAAATTCCAACTTTGGTTCAACTTTGTATTCCAGCGATAGACATAGAGAGATACGGACGGATCCCCTCTACTTTTCACATTTACAACTTGAGACTCCGCTGCAGACGTTTGCACTTCAACTCGTTTCGCCCGCGATTGATCGTGGTCGTTTTGGTACAGGCCGGTGGTTCAGCACACCTTCGGCCACAGACCCGAAGATACAGACGTTCGTGGCTTACAGATACAGATACATTTTACAGATACACGCAAACTTTTCTGAAGTCGAGACATTCGGTTCGTTTCAAACATTCACGTCAAACGCAAAAGCCGAACTCCGATGGTCAAGACAAGCTTCGACTTGGCCCTCTTTCGACTTGGCCCTCTTGTTGCCAAAAGGTGAGATTCAAGCAGGTGAGATACAAAAACCAGATTTTTTGAGCTTTTTTAACGGATTTCTGTCGGGTTCGGGGTTTTCACGAAGCCGTCGCGACCATTTCTTCATACATGTTTGATACGCTAAGAAAAGATCGCCTTCCTAGTAAAAATATAAAAAAACCAAAAAAATTTGTAATATGCCCCGATACATTTATATTCCAAATTAAATATTTTAAAAAATTTTAGGGTAAAACTGAGTTTGGTTTTAAAATGGCCCAGTTCAATGCGAGTGAATATTTCTGCAAACGACAGAAAATTTAATTTAACGGAAGTTCAAAAATCTGGCAGCCTCTTTACTTAGCCAAGACGCAAGCCTGCTCTGACGTGTGGGGAAAAAATAAAAAAAAATTAAAATTATTAAAATTTGAAATATCCCACTTGTTAAATAAATTTGCTAAGAATAAGAAATTAATTTCTCAATTGCTAATATTATATAAAAAAAATATATAATATTTACAAAATATTTCAAGATTTATCAAAATCCGCATTTCATGACCGTTATAGATTCCAAGACAAAAATTATCATTTTTAATGATTTTAATTTGGGTTTTTACTTCAACGTTACATTTCGAATCGACAATCGACCAACGACACTCGGCTCTGTCCAACAACCACTGCCAGAACCCCTAGACTTCGATTAGTCCGTTTAGTGGTGTCCCTGGGCCTCAGCCTCCAGCTGCTCCTTGGACTTGTAGCCAACCTGCTCCTCGGGGGTGTGGGGCCAGAAGGTGGGCTTGTTGAGGGGGTCGAGGGCGCTTTCGGGGAATGCGTCGCGGTAGTCCTCCATGGTCATCTGCTCGTATGGCAGCAGCGACTTCAAGTGAGCGATCTCCTTCTGGTAGCTCTGGATGCGCTGCTCAGAAGCCTTCTTGTAGCTGTCGATCTCGGACTGAGACTCCTTGACTTGGGCATCCACCTGGGGGGTGTAGGTGTCCTTGGGGTAGGGCACCTTCAGGGCTTCGTACTGCTTCTGGAAGCTGTCGACCAGTCCCTGGACGGGGACCAGCTTCTTGTAGTTGGCCCAGTCGATCTGAGGAGGGCATTCAGGGTTGGCCAAGACGGCGCGGACATAGATGTCCGACTTGGTCTTGAAGGCGCCGAAGCTGCTCTTCTGGTTGGCGGGCACACGCTCGGCTAGAGCGGACCAGTTGATCGAGGATTGGGCGATGCGGCGAGCGGCCATTCTGGAGCACAAGACCTGAAGAAAACAAAAGCAACATATGAGGTTAGGTCAACTGATTGGAAAATCAAAGTAGTTCGATGGCCCATAATGTTTCGTTGGCTATAATCCTCTTGATCCGAGGATATATAACTGGATGTGCCACAAATATCCGATTTGGACCAAAACATTAAAAGTTATGCTTGCAAAAATTATGTAATTTTTCCTGCGACTTAAGTTCCACTAGGTATTGGATTTCAGACTTTTTAATTGTTATGCTTTGCAGAACACAAGTGCAAGTCTGTCCCGTGAATTACTTTTACGTTTTTTAACCTTTGTCTTCAAGATCCTTACTTATTTTTCAGAAAAATAATAAATTTCAGCCCCAGTACCAACACTTACACTTTGAGTACAAATACTCGATAACTGCTGGCCAGGGATGGCAAACTATTGACAGCTGGTGTGGCAACACTCCCACAATCGACAGCCACACTATCAGCAGGTTTACGAAAACAAATTGCATGTGGATTTAATTTAAGATAAATATTTTCATCGTGATTTTTAACTGAAATGCTGTTAAAACAGTTACCACAGACAGTGCAGCAATTGCGCTGCCTATCCTCAGCCACCACTGCTGTAACCAGACTGCACCGGTCGGTCTATTGCCGGTTATATCCAACCGTAGTTGTTCAGCCCGATGGATCCACGATAAATATTCGTTACCACGAGCCGCGTAAGATTATCAAGGTAAAAACATGACATATAAATAGAAAATCTATCTAATAATTCGCTTTAAACAGCTTCCATTGGATCTAAGCACATTATCTGATGCAGAACGTAGAGCTAGGCTGGAAGCCCGAAAGCCCCGCAAGAAGGTGAAAATCATGGAGGAAGTAGAAGATAACTTCAATGCCAAGAAATACATGAAGTACATTAAAAAAAAGTAGATTTCATGCCACATAAATGTAAAGCTTACATTGTAAACAATTGTTAAATAAAGAAAACAATTTATGTCTGTTATATAAGTCTGGCAGCTCTTTAATCACAGCTGCCATATCTTTGTAAAACTTTCACTGCTCAAGCGATTTTCAGACAAAATTAATTTAACATTTCAAAATTACAACGCGTTTAAAAGGAAACTATAACTTTTAAACAGTTTTAATTTTTATACAACAATAAAAACATCGCTTAAGTGAAAACAATTTCTTATTGAGAGAAGACGGCAAAGTTACGTGTGAAGTTTTTTCCCGTAAATTTGAAGTGTCTTTTTCTTTTAATCCAATATCATAAGATTTTTGAAATAAAGTAATTTAACTTATTTTGCAAAAGCTTTGGAAATAGAAAAATAAATGGCATTTATGTAGTTGCGCCAAATTTAGATCAGTGTGACCTTACTGAGACCAAACAAAAAACGTCAGAAAATAGACACTATTCCGGCAGCACCGCGGTCCCGATATATCGACATTCCCTGGATACACACAATTATTTTAGCTCGTGGAAAAGTCGGACGCATTGCAGCGCGTCTCTGCGCGAGAATATTCTAAGCCTTAAAAGAGCTCTAAATAATTATTTTAACTGAAAAAATATTAAATAAGGAGGTAAGTAATTGCTTTATTTTTCCATTTTCGTTCCAAACAACAAGAAAAAGCAACCAAATCGGCTTTAAATTCACGCACCAACACATACACACACACATGGGTAGTGAAAATTTCCCCGTTTTTTCGGCTGCGTTGCATTTTTGGCTTTTGGTTTTTTTTACTTTGGTTATTGTTTGGTGGTTGTAAACATACTTGTTAAGATTTAAAAAAATGTATTAAGTGTTTTTTGTTCATTCTCTGCCTGCAGCAAACTAACGCATAGATACAGAAAAAGTATTGATTTTCGTCCAAGATGGCGGACGACGAGCAATTCAGTTTGTGCTGGAACAATTTCAACACAAATCTGTCGGCTGGGTTCCACGAGTCGCTATGTCGCGGCGATTTGGTGGACGTTTCCCTTGCGGCGGAGGGGCAAATCGTGAAGGCCCACCGGTTGGTTCTATCGGTGTGCTCGCCCTTCTTCCGCAAAATGTTCACCCAAATGCCCTCAAACACCCACGCCATTGGTAAGTTTCCGCAACTACATACAACCTCCCCAACTAGATTTTTATTGCCCCCCTTTGTTTTTCTAGTATTTTTGAACAACGTCAGCCACTCGGCTCTGAAGGACCTGATCCAGTTTATGTATTGCGGGGAGGTGAACGTAAAGCAGGACGCCCTGCCCGCGTTTATCAGCACCGCGGAATCGCTGCAAATCAAGGGGCTAACGGATGTGAGTATATGTGTAACAAATTTTTAACAAAACAACAACAACTAAGCGTCGTCTTTGGCGCGCTATACATGCACACATCCAAACATACAAACAAACATGCGCGCGTACAGACGCGTCGCTTCGGTATAAGAGCCGATGACTCGACTGTACCTAGAAATTTCTCGCAACCCTAAAACGCCAAGCACTCATACACACAAACGTTCGCTTACAGCACAGCGTTGTGTTTGTATAAGAGCAAAATGACCGACTGTACCAAGCAAGAAAATGAAATGCCTGGCTAATATTTTTGTTTTGATGAAGATTATTTTTGAAATTATTAAAAAATAATATAATTGGATGTTGCTTAGTCGGGAATGTAATCAAGCATACGAAAAAATATTTTTTTTTTTATGATAAATATCAAATTGGAAAATATTACATTCCTTATCTATTTCTTAAATGCTTTTTTGTTATTTTCCCTTCATGCTTTTTGGATGTTTATAGGTTTTTGTTTGTTTTTTTTTTTTATGACTAAAATTTGTTATAAAAAGTTGAGGAAAACTTATTAATAACTTGAAATATTCATTTTTTTAGAATGACCCTGCGCCGCAGCCACCGCATGAGCCCAGCCCCCCGCCAGCAGCACCCCATGTACAACAGCAGCAAGTGGCTACCCAGCGCGTCCAGCGCCAGCAGCCGCGTCCTGCCGCCCGCTACAAGATTGAGACCGTGGACGAGGGATTGGGCGACGACAAGGGCACCACCCAGATAGTCATCCAGACCACGTCAGCACCCCAAGCCACCATTGTACAACAGCAACCGCAGCAGCAGCAGCAAACGACCCAAATCCAGACTCAGCAGCTGCAGACAGGATCCACGACGACGGCCACCCTGGTGACGACAAACAAACGATCCGCCCAGCGCTCCAATCTGGCCCAGAGCAGTAGCGCCGGTGTCAAGCGTACGAAAACGGTAATGGACCCACTGGAATCTGAAACTGGAACTACGGCGACCACCACGACGCAGCAGATAGTGCCGCAGCAAATCACCGTTCAGACCACTGTTGTATCGGCGGCGGAAAAGCTACCTCAATCGCAGGTACGCCAGCAGCAACAGCAGGAGGAAGCTGAATACATTGATCTCCCCATGGAAATACCCACGAAATCTGAACCGGACTACACTGAGGACCACGGTGATGGTGCTGGCGATGCGGAAGGCCCATACGTTGAAGACGATACCTACGGCGACATGCGCTATGACGACAGCTACTTCACCGAAAACGAGGATGCGGGCAACCAGGCGGCGAACACCAGTGGCGGTGCCGTCTCTGCCACCACATCCAAGGCTGTAGTCAAACAGCAGAGCTACAGTGACTCGTCGTTCGTCGAGGGTGGCGCGGATCAGAGCACGACAGAGGCTCAAGGTTGGTTGAATTTCTATCCTAGACTTAGTCGTAAGTACTTAAGTTTACAGATGGAACCCGATGCAAAATTTTCAATTAATTTCAAAAGTTCAGTGGACCTCAAATCAAAATTTTAAGAAACTATGTTTTGCAACCGGTTTTTATCTGTTTCGGGCCGGTTAAGTCTGTTTATATTTGTCTGCAATCAAATGTAAGCAATACTTCTGGCCGTTAGTATTTAACTATTTAAGTTGGCCTGTGTTCTATTTAAACCGCTAAAGAACATCTGGCCGATCGGCTGTCTGAGGCAATTTAATCAAAATATTAGTTAAGAATGCCAAGACAGCCGATCCCGCGATTTACTTGAAAACGTTTGTGAAAAAGGTAAGTAGAGTGTTGATATTTATTTCCACTGGGACTGCTGATACGAGTGAATCTAGAGGAAGGCGCTACTGGAGTCATACGGATTCTGCGAGTTTGGAGGTAATTCTGTAGATGTTGAATATTGTATTTGTTTTTAAAGTTTCAGGTACAGTTTTCAGAACTGGGGTTGCCACCATGTTAAATATATTCAATCGACAGGGGGTTATTAAATGGGTTGGCCACTTGGCTCGTTTAATAATTCCCTGTTGTTTTGATGATTTTGATTTTGGTTTATGGGGTTGGGGTTTAATTATCTGTAATACGAAGATGTTGTTCAGACTTGTTGAAGCAACGTAAAAGCTTGCGAATGCAATTGTCTGGCAACGGCATTAATTGCCGAATCTTTAGTAGGTCGCCTTTTAAAAGTAACTTTTATATACAAGAAATCTATTGTACGTGAATTTAAACCGGCAGTAAATGTGATATAAATGTCCAATAAGTGTTAAAACAACTATTTGATTTTCACAATTTAGGGATCTAAGTATATATTTTTTGATTTTTATAACATTTGAGGGTTTTCTTTACAATCTGTATTCAGTAAGGGACAACTAGATTTTTTATGTGAACCTTGACAGAAGTTTTATAAATACAAATTATGAATCTAGGGATCTAGGTATAGATAAAATATAGATATAGATCATATTATTCCGCTTTAGTAATTTTATTAACTATATTTTTATACAAATTGAAATGGCCAAATAAAAATTTTAAATACAATTCTATATATTTTTTTCTTGAGTATGGTGTTGCCACCTTTTGCCTGAATTATTTGGTAGCCCTGGGTATAAATGCTACCCTGTGTATTAAGAAATGTGGCAACGCCCTTAAAAATTGATAAACCTATGCTGTGTTTGTTACTGCTTTATACAACAAATAATAATATATCGTCTATAACATAAACACCTATTTGTGCTCGTGATAGTGAATTTAATATGGTTAATGAAAGTGAAAGAAAAGTGCGCCAAGATCTTGGGAAACCAATTTTTTGTGCTTGTGTTTGTGAAAAAAAACAAAAAAAGAGTGAAGGCGAATGGCATTTATGTGCTATGTATCCAAAATGGGTAACAATATATAGCATTAGGAGGCTGTTGTAAGTATTTAACAAATTAATGGGTCCTGTGGTCATGATAATGCAAATAAACAGCTTAAAGCCAAAGTCAAAATTACTTGTGTTTTATTTCGTCGAGCCTAACTTAGCGCTTAAGTCGCATGCACTAGAACTAAATACACCTATAGATTCTAAACATACGATGCTTATAATGAAATTGAATTGTTTTCCTTCTTACTTTTTGTATATAATCTGCAGACGATGAGATTAGGTTCATTCGGAGCCAGAAAAAGAACGCCCAATTGGTCTACAGGGACTATATATACAACAAGAAGCTTACCCAGGCGAACGGGCAGACCACCTGGCGTTGTGCTGATGTCCTGAAACTTCGCTGCAAGGCGGTGGTCATCACCAAAAACGGAGAATTCGTCGACGCCCGACGGCAGCACAACCACGAGTCCCATGCAATGCGAATCGGGATGAGGCAACTCTACAAAATCGAGGAGGAGCTGGAGGAATACGTCGAGATCTGCACATCAAACCCAAAAATTTCCCAGTATCTGGGCAGCAGCAACATTAGCATAATGACCGCCAAGGATGGCAAGGAGTGTAAGCTCTTCCTGCCCGCCTCCGAAGCCACAGAAATCGAGATGCAGGCGCTGGTACACGACCAGGACGATGAGGAAGTGGTGGAACAGGTTTTGCGAGGGCGAGATGTGAAATGGAAGACAGAGAACAAGGCGCGTCCCATTCTCAAGCCCAAACCTCATTAGAAGTTTACGCTTAGAACCTAAGATCGGATTAGTAATGAAAATGCAGTGGGTCGATTCAGTTGAGAGAGTGCATTACGAATATTAAAAGATATGTCTAATATCAAGTAAGATCTATAGAAAACAAATTAAATATTAACTTTAATAATTAATATTAATATTATTTACAAATTTAATATTATTGAGAGTATAATTATTAAAAGTACCATGGTTTATATAGTATGATTGAAATGAATAAACATTTTTAATAATGTTTTTAATATTTAGTGTAGAATGATTGTCGAACTAATCGGCCCATCCACTCAAAAATAGTTTAAGCTGCTTTTCTGATTTTTTGTAAACATATTCGCATCTAACTTTCCAATAAAATGAGACAAAATAAGTTCCTGTTCAGGTCTACGTAAGACTCTATACCGTACTAATATAGGTCTAGCTTCCAGTGGCTATATATCGACACATATTAATTACTATATCATTTTAATTCGCAGGTAGCAACCAGCTGGTATTCATCGAAAGTCCCTGGGCGACACCTTGCTTGGTGCTAAATGGATACATGTACAACTGCCACAGTAGGAAGAGCAACAAACAGTATTGGCGCTGCCACAACTACTCCAAAAAGGCCCACGAGTTGCGATGCCGATCTCGGTGTGTTTTGGAGAACGGACGTTTGAAGAGTATAACTGGTGGCCTGCACAACCATCCACCACATTCGGAGAAGATCGAGAAAATAGTGCAGCGGAACAAGTTAGCTGCTGTCAGCACTGGCCGGAAGATGGGCCGGTCTCAGAACCTCTCAGAATTTCCGCAACAGCCGAAAGAGGAGTTCATTGACGAGCCGATGACGGAAGGATCAGCGTTACAACTGACTGAACATGATTTGATGAACGCCTCTCTAATGCTCATACACGATTAGTGTTCCAAACGGGCGAAATAGAGCCATCCACCTGGTCACGGCAGTGCAATGTAGTTACTAAGTAACAGTGATAGGGAGTGCATATCCAAGGAGTTGTACCAATTCGCAATATTTTTCGGTTGCCGCAATATTTTTCAATATTTTCAAATCTTTTAAAGTTCCTTGAGGTTTTCTTTTGAAAACTATACAATAATGAAATTATTATGAATTGAATCGATTATTTAGTATTTGTAAAAAAGAATACATTGAATTTATTTTACTTTATTTTCCAAACAAATTATTTACCTTAGCTGAATTATATACAAATTTTTTCTCCTGGTACCGAACAAGTTTTGAACTCTCAACCTTAACTTTGAATACTATTTAGATACTTGTGATACTTGTGATCACTGCTAAGTACAATAGATATATAAATCTAATAAAGAGCCAATCTAAAAGTAATATACTAATTTAATTAGAATCTCTTACAGGAAAATACACAGACCGTAAGTGTGATATGTATCCATGTCCTATCCTCCTAATTCATAGTTTTTATATAATTTCAGAGCTCATCTACAATGAACGTGGAAACCTTGTTTACTGTGGTCATACCTTCACCTGCCAGACGAGAAACAATGAGAAGTTATTGGGCTTCTGGCGTTGCACCAAGTACAAAAAGTTGCGTTGCACTGCTGCCTTGACCACTCACATAAAAAGGATCACAGCGACCCGAGGATTTCACAATCACGATCCTCCCGAACGCTTAAAGGCTTTCAAGCCAAGAGTTATAAAGGCAAGCGAGCGATTGGATTTTAATAAGAATTAATCAGTAAGTTAATTGAAAATGTGAGAGAATAAAGATTACTTTTAAAATATAAACATATTCCTTTTATTTTATTTTACTTAACCGTTTGGAACTCTTATATTTTGTTTCAAATTTATATTAACTATCGTTTTTTGCATTACAGAAAAAGTATCTTCTTCAGGAAGACCAGGATTGAAGCTGAAGCGCCAGACAGAACCATTAAACCCAAATGTTAAGAAATGTGATACAAGAGAGAAACCTGATTTCAAATCCCTGACTTTCAAGTACATTCGATCTGCGTTAAGTGACCACAAATTTGTATCCTTGGAAGCCCCCCGAAATAAAGGCCGTTGCGTCAACTGCCTGAAGAAAGGATGGGTGGGCCTGAAGAAAGTCAATACCTTATGCGATTCCTGTCCGAGCAAGAACTGGATGTGCGAGTCCTGCTTCGTCGAATTACATCCAATATAACAATAATTAAACATTCTGACTGATTAAAAATAAAAGCATTTTTCTATTCATATGTGTATCTACATTTTCTTAAAGTAATCCATTTTTAAACTTTATTTCCAAATCCATTAACTACTTATTTTTATTGCAGTTACTTACGTCAAAATACTGAAACCAGGTGCAACTACTCGCACTGTGGCAACAATTTTAGGTGGAAGATTAAAGTCTCGACAACGCATAGACGTGGCATCCAACGCCAAGTCTGTGCCAAGGAAAGTCAACCTTAATAACTGCGTGCGAACCTCGTCCAATAATCACAACTTTGTAAATGTCCAAACGCCAAGATTTAAGGGCAAGTGCGTCAATTGTCTCAGAAAAGGATTTTTGGATATAAAGAGGGTCGGCACCTTGTGCGATAAGTGCCCTGGAAAAAACTGGATGTGTGAACAGTGCTTCGAGGAACTACACCCATGAACGAAATAAAAAATATCCTAATTGATTATAAAATATATACAGCTTAATAAATAGTAAGAGAATATATTTTACAAAGTATTATTATTATTTCAAGGCTTCTGTATTATTTTTAAACCCATAAAGCAGTACATTACCATAATCTAGGAAAATTATCCTAAAACTGGAAAGATTTCGGTAACATTGAGTTAAATTAATCCCCACACTACATTTATTTTTTTTGAAAAATTGTATTTTAACCCTGCTTTTAAATCGCATACTTACACAGTATAAAATTTCTAAATTAAAATTTATTATTTATAAAATTATAAAAATATAGCGGTTGTAATGAGTGCATTTTTGAATTAGTGACGAGGTATAATTAATTAAAGGCTTGTACTTTTAAAATCTTTATGAAAATATACAATTTTTTAATTAGAGAGAACACATCCAAAGTTTATAGACTTTCAACGGGAAGATGCTTTTTTTTTAGGACTACTTATTTCCACTTTCGTCCGTGTCCGGCGACGTCCATCCTTCACGATGACCTCGTGATTGTGGGCGGCATGTAGCACTTCCAGTTTATTTTTCCGTGTGGTGCGGATACGAGCCCGACATTTGGTGGTGGAACGCGTGGCACAGATCCACTTGGTGCCCCGTCCATTCTCCATGAACTTAACGAAGCTATGGCCGTCGTAGTTCAGCTTGACGGATTCCCGCTGACCTTTTGTGAAGAAGTACGGAGCTTCAACTGAAAGTAAAAGAATGTTTGTCCCAATGTTTTAGTAAGGTATACAGATACAAATAGAGGATGACCCTTATAATGAATTTTGTTTTGTCTAACCACTTCAGTTGCAATGTTAAAGCCTTAATTTTATTTGATTTACATAAATTAAAATGTTTTTATAGAATGGATTCTAGTTACTAACTTGTCTGTCGCAACAAACACGAGCTTACACTTATGGATACGAATAATTCGGAGACCGATTTAAGGGGGAGGATTGAATATAAAAAAGTCTGATTCAACACGAGTCTAAAAAAATAGAACTTTAAAGTTTCGAATTTTAAATTTAAGGATCTACTTATTTTACTTAAGCGGTATTCTCTTTCTTGTCACAATTAAAATCGTCCCAATTCAATAAAGAAGTACGGCCCTCACTTTCTGCGGCTAACTACTCTCGTGGCCCCTCCCACAATGCCGGTGACATCCGCGACGATCTCCTCGTACTTCAGATGCATGCCCAGTTCGCTGACGTCGATGGTAGCCGGGGATTCGTCTTCTAGCGCGGTGGTCAGCATGGCATCGCTGGTCAGTTGAATCTCTTGTTGCTGTGGCTGTTGGTGTTGATGTTGCTGGTGCTGCTGTTGCTGTTGCTGCTGCCTGGTAGTTGTGGGAGCTACCTTTGAAATAGTCTCTACCGGCGGCACTCGACGCACACGCTTCTTCCGACGCACAATCTCCTCGTGGGTATGAAAGCGATTAAGGGGACAGACCACATCGTTGATGGTGAAAACTCGTGAACGGCATTTTTGGTTCCACCACTGATTGCATCGCCAGAAACGTTTCTCTTCCCCGGAAGACAACTTCAGGGTCTTTTCAAATATGAACGGCTGGCCCCCATAGATGAGTTGCATCCTTCCTCTCGAGGTTGCCGAATAAATGGCAATGCTGCTTTCTGCGAAGAGAGAAAATAAAATGAATTAGTAAAGTAATAGGAATGTAATGGGTCAATACATCTACAATAAAATAGTCAGTTTGATTATTTTTGCCAAGTTAAGGCACACATATATTTTCACTTTTAAATTAAGGTCTAATCCTACTTTCTAGTGTATCGCTTTGGGGGCTCATGGTTGTGAGTTGGGCGGGAGATACAAACTTTATACCTTCCGTTCGGAAGATTCGTAGTGGAGAGTCTGGCGTTGCATGTCCCGTGACTTTTACCTCGCGACCTGCAGTTCCAATAGACGGTGTTTCCATGAGTATTGTTTTTGGCGAAGATGTAGCTTTCGAACAGAATTTGAACTGACTTGCGGGGCCCCTGAATAAACTTAAAGCTGGGTTCGATGTCGAGTAATTTCCCGCGTCCATTATGGAATGACTCGACTATCATTTTTTTTCCAAAAACCAGGGAATCTTAAAAAGATTAAAAATTAAAAAGATATGATTAATACTTTGCTATTGAAAAACAGTTTAAAGAAACTCTCGAATTAAGTACTAAAACCCGCAAATACTTTAGCATTTATTGTATTTAGAGTCCAATTATTTTTATATTTAATTAAGTACATAGGCCACTATTACCTTCTAGGATAAAGGCTGAAGTCTTCAATCAAGTATTTCTAGCTGAAAAATTATCCATTATAAAATTTTAGATGTAAATATGTGGCTCCAAACACACTCACTCAGTAAGAGGCTTCATTTTCTTTTTGATCGGCCGTTTCGCTACACAGCCGGGATTCCTTTCCAGCCGCAATTTCTGAGTATCCACTTTCGAATTTTGAGACATGTACATGGTGAGATGCGTGTGCACGTTGCAGGTGACATGAATGATATCCCCGTTGGGGGAATAACGTGTCACCAAGCGAGCTCGGCACTTGGCCTTGTGGTACATGGAGCACTTCCAGTCGCGGCTCTTTTGACCTTCTCTCAGCTTCTCATTCGGCGTGTAGGTATTTCCTTCGTAGTAAACAAGATCAGTGCCGCGATTGGATCGCACATATTGGGCTAGTTTCGATGTGCCTGCAAAGAAATGCATGTTATTGTAAATATTGGACATAAATGAAGTACATTTAATGTTAAAATGTAATGAATTTGGCGGAACAGTGAAAGGCAAGCGAGGAGTTTGTATTTAGATCACCGTTTATTCCATAATTTACTTTGGAGGTAGCTCTTTCATATAGTAACGTTTTTTGGGTTCGACCCGGGCATGATTATGCTGGCTGGTTCGCATCCGAACTACGCCAGTGCTGTTTATCAGGATGGCCCGGGCACGGCAATGGCTCCGGAAGCTGGCACACTTCAAGTAGCTGCGATTGTTGTGCTGCGATCCAATGACAAAGCGAAAGCCATCGATTATAGTAAATCCACCAACGCGCTTTGCCACGATTCGACTTTTCTTTCCTAAAAAGGAGGATGCACGTTAATAAATGATAGGATGCAGATTCGATAAAAGTAACACACAAACAATTTACATGATATGAAAAATGATTTTGAAGAGCGAGTCCTTAAATAATACTTTTCTTAGGCTAACTATCACCGTTTTTTATTAAAGTTATGATTAGTTTACACAAAAAGCCACCCATTTGCAATATGACACATATGAACACTTAATCAGATTTCACAGTCACCGCATTTCGTTGGTTCTTCTTCTGGATTTGTGAGCCTTTAATGTAGTCACTGGGTGATTGTGGGGTCGGTGGCCAAGCGTGATCCTGCGGGAGTTATTGGTATCAGTAACACAGCGAGCTGGGCAGCGAAGAGTAGTGTTGCTGTTCTTGGAGCACACCCAGTTAAGGCTGAATCTATACTTCCGTTCCAGAGTGTACATGTGACCCTTGTAGATAAGGTTCTGACCACCACGGCGATTAAGCACCAGTTGGTAGCTTCTTCCTGTAATTTTGGTGAGAGATTATTCACAAAGCAATAATACGTATAAAGGATTTAATGATATGTCTTCAGAGGAAGGGCGACCATAACTTTCTTGAATACAAAACAATTTTATTGGGCTTAAGAGAGGTGGAACATGGAATTGGTGTCTAGGGATGATTGTGGAAGCCGCGCAGGGCCGAGATCATGTTGGATTTGGTCACCACGCGGGCGGAGCACTTTGTGTACTTGCAGCGTAGCTTAACGCATTCCCAGTAGCAGGCGTCCTTAATCCTACGGTTGAGGGTGAATGGCTTTCCGTCGATGGTCAGCAGGTTGTTGCCACGATTGCTTCGAGTAAAGCACACATCCATGTGCTGGTAGTTGTGCTTCCTGAAGCTTCCGCTCCTCTTTCTCCTGCCCACCATATGCGTTGTCTTGTAGGCATTCTCCAAATCTACAAATACACGTTCGGGTGGGAGGGATACATATTGATTAGATTAGTTGGAGGATATTGATGCCCAAGCGCCCAACAGGATCCGCCAAATAATATGCGTACATTTTACTGCTTCTGTTGTAGCAACAACACACTTTATTTAAATGGGGTTGACAATTGTTTTGGCTATATCGAAGTTTGTACACAATATTTTGGGAAGGCGTCACTTGTTCTGCTTCGGCGTCTTTTTAAGGCACATTCGCAAGGGTTCTCCTCGCCGGTATAATTGTGGGGCACAGGGGCGGCTTAGCACTAGTTATATTTCACAAGCGGCTATTCTAAATAGAGCATTTTGCAATTACTTGATATTTAGCAAAAATTTCGTTCACTTGCGTTTTTTTTCACAACTGTGGCGACATTGTTGGGTAAGGCTACCAGATCGTTGCAATTTTTGCCAGGGCTGCAGTAGATAGAGATACAAGAGTATCGGAGAAAAGATATATTTATAAACAATATATATAAATATTTGGCAGTTTTTAAAATATAAGATTATATTTTTATTTTTACAACAATATTTTTAAATTGTATCTTAATAACTACAACGATAACTTTTACGCACAGCCCCTTCGTACTGTACCGACATGTTTTAGGCAACCCTGACTCAGCCATTTCACTTCATCCATTTTTTGTCTCGTGGGCGTGCTAAATATTTTCATTTTATTCTGTGATTATGTGATAAATAGTGCAAATATATATTCCAGCTGCCTCTCAAATACATGTTGTTAGTTTTGTTGAATAAATGAACTGAAATAAATCCTCCTATTGAACAGAATGAACTGTGTTTTATTTTGTTTATGTTTATTGTTGCTACTTTGAAGCAGTGATTTTAAAAACGATTTCCTAATGTACATATATTTGTATTGCAGGAAAGGAAAAGGAACTAGACAAGAATGGAAAGGACGCCAAAGAACAGGACACAACGGAAAAATGCAAGGAACCGGCTGGCGCTGAAGTGGGAAACCCAGGGAAGGTGGCTCAGAAAGTAGTGGCTACAAATGTGGATAAGCCTCAAGGTGATGCAGATGCGATTCCCCTGTACGATGGAAGCAAAGTTTATGTCTCCAAGATGGCTTTGGCCAAGGCTTACATCCCAATGCCAGCCATATACACGTCGAGGGTAACGGATCTGGTGATTGGCAAGGAAAACTTGGCCAGGATTGCCCAAGGAAAAGAGTCGCCAGACAAGGACCTGATGCAGGCCATTATAAGTACATATTTGATTGAAATGGCCTTTTCGTAAATATATATAATTGCCTTCTTTTGCAGCTCACGTGTGCAAGGTCTTTGCCATCCGAGGGGATCAGCTGACTCCTTCGGTGATCCAGGAGTTCATCGACCACAAACTAAGGACCCTCAAAACGTTGGTGTCCAAAACGGCACAATAGATTAATGTTATTTTTGTTGCGTTTGAAAACGAAATAAAATCATGGAACGAAATTCTGTTTCAACAATCCTCTCTAGCTAATAACTTTAAATTTCAAGTTGGTAAATCCATTTACTAATCTGCTATTTTGTATATGCTTTGTTCCAGGTGTTATGCAATCCCTAAAAGCACTCTTCCAGGACAAGTCCTCCAGCAATAGTGTGCAATACACCACCACGCAGCGAGGGAGAGTAATGCTCATCTATGCCGGATATCGGTATGTGGTGAACCGCCAGAGCCTCAAGAACGTGTTCTGGCGGTGCTCTCGGTACGTGAAACACAGTTGTCGGGCCACTCTGGTGACCTCTAAGGTTCAGGATGTGGCACTGAGGTTAGCTGGGTCGCCTCACACCCACGACCCAGAAGTGAATTCGATGGATTTCTCCACAGACGTCTTCGACGACTTTCCCGATTTGCAATAATCCCCCACCTTCCCTCTAGCTTAATTAAATAAATCTAAAATTAAATCATATAACCATGTGTGTTAGTTCTGTAGCTAGTGTAGTCATAGCTAGTCTTAATTTAATTTCCCAACTAATCTATCGATATTTTAATTTACAGTGGAGATCAAAATGGAGCCGCCTCCAGCAGATGATAAAGTGGCGATGTCTGCGGTAACTTCTCTTAGTGATGATGAATCCTTTAGAAAACCATATACCTTGCCAAAGATTCTTGACGGTAAGTTCTACAAGGACATTCAGCCGAACCTAAAGACTCCAGGCGCCATCCAGGCCATTTGCACAAGTTGCTGCGTTCTGATTTCGGGAACGACCAAGTCCACTGGAAACTTCCTCAGCCATATCAAGAGACGTCACAAGGAACTGCTGCCTTTGTGCCAACTTTACTGCCAGGCCAAGTCCAATGGCTCTGTGGCTGCCACAAAGAATCCCGTACCTGTCTCAACTTCGCTGACGGCGGCGTCTGTGACAGATCCAGTCCAGGAAACCGTCGCTACGGTGGCTCCTGTGGTCACATACCCAACCGCCCCTGCGACTCATTTGGCCATGCCCATGACTGTGCCCGTTCCGGTCCCGTTTCGCACAATGTCCCTGGCGATGCCATTATCCCTGCCCAACGTACAAACACCGCAGATGATGGCATTAATGCAGCAGTACCAGACCCACGACTCGATGTTCATTAAAAAGGACTAGCTTCTAGAGGACCTACACAATGGTGATGTCTACGAAACAAGCTGGAAATTCATCGTATTTTAGAGTAATAAGACTAGAACAAATAAAATAAGGATTTCAGTCTCAAAACTTTTCAGTAAAAAGTTTAGATACTTTTCGAAAATCCAGCTTGAACCTGAACCTAAGCTAAGTGAAACCTTTTATATGGCCTGATAGATCTAATTATTATAAAATAAATAATAAATGAAAACTGAAGAATTTTTTAAGCTAGTTTATAATTATTAGTTGTATTGCTTAGCATATGTGCTTTATATATCAACCTAACACATTTCCTTTTTCTTCCAGCTCGCCGTCGATACGCCAAAAAGCCAAAGCAGTATGATGGTACCGCAGCTTTTGACCTGGCACCTCATAGACGCCCCAAGCTAATCATAGCCAATAATCAGTTCATCGTACATAGGATATATGGAAAAGACAACTTGATCGGATCCTGGCGCTGCATGTATCATCACAAGGGATGCAAGGCGAGGGCCTCAACCTTTATGGTTGACAACGACGTAAAGTATAGAAGTAGTTGCTCCTCTCATAATCATAAGAACGTAAAGTATAAGATGTCCAGACTTAATATTCCCTGGGCAGCACGTGATTAGCCAAGATTGACTTGGACTAGCAATATTTCTTGGAATAACGAATAGTGGACTGGTCTGGCTAAAATGAATTTTTTATTCTTTAGTGTTGAAGGTTGTTTCCCCATTTTTAATCCATTTTAGTATATGTTAGCCTTAATATATTTATAAAATATAAATTAAAGAATGAAACATAATCAATTCATAAGAAATAAATCAATGTGGTTTGAATTTCGTTGATGTTTTACTGAAAAATAAATATTTGCGAAAACTAATAGGACTTAAGCTCTCTTTTATATTTCTTCTAAGTTAAGCTTCTGCTTTGTCAAGTGCTTTATTTCAAATTCTATATTTGCCTTATTTAATGTACAGGCAAGAAGCATGTAAGCGATCAGTAATGGAACATTATAATGGACACAGCAAACCATACAACCCCTGTCATGAAGTCACAAGTAACGCGAAAATACTTACCCAATCTAACTAGTCTCTGGTCATTCAGTCTAAGTTAGAAATACATTTTTTTGGGGGGCAATTACAAAGTAAGCTTAACCTTAACGAAAGTTCGATGCAAGGGGAATGTCTAAGATCGGTTACAATTGTTCAATTTGGATCTCCGGCTCTAATCTCCAGGTACCATGGATTCGATCAGCGGGTGTTAGGGAGCTAAGTTTCTTGTGAATTAGCATTCCAGCAGCCCTAGCTGCCTCAATCCGCTGATTGTCACCCATGTGGTTGTGCACATCTGCGGAAAGATAAAAATTAATCTTAATGACAATATTATGGAGTTAACGGACCATTGGTAACATAGAGATCATCTCCTATGGTCTTCAAACGGCTCCGACACTTTACGGATCGGTTTTGGACGCACTCCCAGTACAAAATATTATTTTCCTTGCCAAAGAACTTGAGATTGGAGCGGTAAATAAAGTTGTTGATGGTAAGAAGGGTTCCTCCCTTGCGGCTGATCAGAAACAATTGCGGTCCACAATTCCTCACGTGTTGGGTAACTAAAAAACACAAATAATGAGGGTTATTCAGTAGTCAATGAATTTAACCTTAAGAGTAATACATTTATAGATAGTAGTAACAGGTTGGACAACCTACTAGCTAATTTTCTTGAACATTTGATTTATTGACAATTTTTATTTGGAAAAACTTAAATCTGTAGTATGTTTTCTGTAGTTATATTGGAAACCCAAAGGTGTATATTTATATATTTGTAGAAAAATTTGCTGAAGCTCTGGAAATTGATTCATAAAGGTCACTTCTTTTTGTTTTGCAACGCCTTTTGTAGACGTCTTTTGATTTTCTCGCGGAAATCGTTGGGATCCACTTCTTGCTGCGCCTCTACCAGTGGTGGTTCGTCAGGCAATTCTGGAGCCTCCAAAGATGGCTCCACATCGACTTCGTCTATTTCTTGAATCTCAAACACCTCGTGTTCTTCCTCCTCCAACTCCACGTCCTCCTCAAGTTTTGGCGTTTTCTTAAGTAGCTGCTCTACTTTACTATCCTTCATAGATGTGTCCAAAGAAGAAATAGCGCCCGATTCTCCTGGCATGAACTGCGAGGCCAGGCAACTCTTGTCACTAGCCTGCATGAAATGGGCATGCTCGCCGTCATAAGGAAAGACTCGTTTTTGGTCGCACACAACGCGCACTTTGCATTCCTCTCCATGTTCGCGGTAGCAGCATTGGAAAACGGAGTAGTCGGCCTTCCGGAAGGAGAACTTAAACAGGTGTCCGTTGAAAATGAGTTTCACACCTCCTGCAAAGTAAATTGAAAATTATTCATGCTCGCCACAAGCCGCACAAGATTCCACTGACCTTTTGTGGTTGAAGCATACACTGCTGGTTCGCTTGCCGCCTCGTTTTCGGTGGCTGCACGTAGCTTGTCAAGTAGTTTCGGCTTGGGTGTATCATCGACATTGTTGCGCTTTGGACGACCCCGTTTACGTGGTGGATTTACTCCAGAAATTGCTTTTGATGCGGATGTGGCGGCTGTCAAATAAGAATGCAAATGCAACAGGTTAAAAATCGTGTTAAAACCAAGCCTTTCTGGCCAAAATCAAAATAAAACAACTGAAGAGTGTTTTTGCTTGTCAGGCAGATGTTTATTTTTGTAAAATCATAAGAAAAATATGTAAATCTAAAATAAATTGTTGAAAAACACGATTCAAAGAAGAAGACACTGTACTTGCAAATGATGACGATAACGATAACCGATTACGATAGTCGTTAACAGTGCGCTTAACAGCTCTCACCCTCTGTAGTTAGCACGCCATTTTTTTGTTGTTTAATTTTTTGCCGTGTTCGCTTCGCTTTTCTAGAAAACAGTTATTTGTGGCAAACAAAATATTTGTTGAATGTTATTAAATGTTGCAGTGGTTTAATCGTATACTAATAAAGTTAAGGAAAATGTGTTTAACGTGAAAATCAATGTGTAAATTATCCTGTGGCCCTTCTGACTATGTATAAGCGTGCGTCTGTTTTTATGTGCGTGTGTGCATTGGGTGCGCATTTGTGTTGTTGCCTCTACATTTTAGGGAGAACTTCCGCAAAATGTTAGAAATTGGTGTCTAAAAATTAAACAAGAGCAGTTTTAGTCGAGTATTCTCACTATATTGTACCCGGTACTCATTTCTTCCACACACACTCTTTCTTCAAAAGTTATTTTTAATATCACTAACCTTTTCAATGTATATATTTTCGAATAAATTGTTGCTGCATACTTTTGTATGGTTTGATCTAACAGCTGACACAATCCAGTCAGTAACCCCTCTTAAAATCATCCTTAATTTTGTTCATTTCATTAATACTTTTCCAAAATTCTTTCCTATGAGGGGTCTCTATATATGGGTTGGAGATCTGTCCCCTTCTGCTCTAGGAGTACCGGTTATAAAGTGTTTTTTGTTTTAAATTAACAATATATTTGGCACTATATCAAGATGCAAAGTTATTTCCACACTCGGTTCAGGTGAGTTATTCCATTTATTCTATAAATAGTGAAGAGCATTGCTTGATAAAATAGCAAGCCGCTGAAATAAATACATAGCTCCTCAGCACTACCAATCTGTGTGTCTTTCTCTGGGTTAGCTTTAAGACAAATGGTAATTAAAAACCACAAGTTACCTTCCGTATCAGTATGTTCCCATAATTACATTGCCAATGTCCTTATTTGCTTCATAGGTCAGTTTGTTCATGCCATGCCGCGGGGCGTGTGGATCGAGAAGCAGGACTACTATTTCCAGCGCAACCAGAAGCAGGGCGTCAACCTTGTCTTCAACGGATACATGTACAAAAAGGAGGCCTGCTTCCGGGCCACGATCAACTGGGTTTGTTCCGAAGGAAATGGCAAGCGAGTGACCGAAAACAAGTGCTCGGCGAGGGCCATCACAAAGTACGATGGCGGGATAAAGCTCGGCAAGAATGCCCACAACCATCCGCCCCGATTCGTTGGTACAACGGTGCCAGTTAGACTCTTGTCCAAGCAAGAACTATACCCCTATTAAAATTAGAAACAAAAAGTAGTGTAGAAAAGGAACCATGCAATGTTGTTAAGATAAGTTAGCTAATTAATGTATTTATTAAGTTCATCTCTCATAAAACTTGTCAGTCATTCATTTCATCATCAACTCATTCATCTTCAGCTTCTTCAGCCTCTTCAGAGTTATCAGATGAACAGAAAGGAGTGCGACTCAAACGTGATGCTCGGGGCGAGTTCCTGCTGGTCGATGGTGTCAAATTCAAAAAGACACGCGCCCTGTCCTATCGAACCTACTATCACTGTTTAACTGGAAACTGCCCGGCTTTCTATGTCCTCGTGGAGCTGTCTCGTCGTCCGCGTTTAACTAAGCATTTCGACCACGCTCCTCACTGCCTCCGGTGCTAGTAGGATATGTACAACCTCTTATCATAAAAATAGACCAAAATTAAAATGTACAATATATCTAAAATCATAAAATATCCCCCGAGTGTTTTATTTACATGGCAGGCTCATTGCGTGCCATTGGAGAGAATCGAATTGGCTTTCTTTTAACTCAAAACTAATTTTCTCTTTGATTCTATTGTAGTAAAATACGAGTACCAGATCAGTGTGGATGTGGGCGAAGCCACCATGCAGCTGGCTAATGTCTCCGCGGGAACTGATGTAATTGGCAGCAATTCGCCTTTCTTCATCGTCAGCAAGTATGGCACCAAGCAAATAATGCTCAAGCAGCACACCTTCAACCGTCACATCTGCCGAGACGATGTAACCTACTGGCGGTGCAGCCAGGTGAGTAGTCTATAAACCATGATTTTTGACAAGATTCATTTAAATTATTGTTCTTTGGCTTTAAGTTTGCCGTGTTGCGGTGTCGGGCGCGCCTCAAAACCAAGCTGGACACGCTTACCATTCTCAACAGCGAACACAATCACGAGGTCATCTCGAAGGCGCGCAAGTACGGTTCCTTGAAGCGCCAGCGGGCGGAGGCCGAGGCTGCAGCCCGAGCGGAGAGAACCCAGAGTGTAGCCGGAACTGCGGAAGAACACCAAGACGTTGCTCCCACCTTGCAGCCAAACATTAAACTGTAGAGTTAAGCCCTATGTACATTAGAAAGACCCCCTTTTTGACTCAATAAAACTCATGTTAGCTAAGTTTTTAGTTTTTGTCTCTGTTTCTCTAATTAAACAAATCCGAATTTCAATTAAGCAATACTAACCTTATATTCTGTATTTATAATTCGCAGAGATATCGTACTATTCATACATCACCGGATTCCGGGGCAGTCGGAAGCTAAAAATCGGCGAGTTCACTTTCACCAGGAACAAGGCCTCCGGATCAAAGACGTACTGGTCGTGTGCCCGGGCAGGGGCTCACAAGTGCAAGGCTCGAGTGGTGACTGTTCAGGACCACGATGTGACCATAAAGTGTGGCCAGCACAACCATCCCCCCTACTAACATCAGCCATAGAAATGTTGGGAAAATTGTATAGAAGAATTTTAATATTTATTTATTTAGAGAATATAAAGCTTGAAAAAATAAATTGTAATTATTGTGGCATTTGTGAATCCAGACTCAGGAGATAGATTTTAATTAAGGAATCTCTCTAAATGATAACTTCTTTCAGAATTTCTTTCAGAATGCCTCGATGATTTTAATGATATGAAAGGATCCATCAAGCACAGCCTCCTCACATTTATCAAAGGACAACGAGGATGCAAACTTCTGGCGTTTAATGGACACAACTACGTCAGGAACCGTCGCAGTGGCTTGAAGACCTACTGGATTTGTTCTAAGAAGGTAAGCCAGAGAGGAGTATTTTTTTCCTTTTAACCCATAACGTTTTTTCTTCAGGGAAGCACCAAATGCAATGCTCGGGTTGTCACCAATGTGGTGGAGGGTGTCCACAAAATCGTCCTAGAATCCTGCCACCATTCTTGCCTCAATACGGAGCGCAAGAAGAGAATGGGCTCCTCCACTACGCAGGAGAAAGCGCGGACTAAGTCGGGAAATCCAATGCCAACTAGCGTTAAGTCAAAACCCGACGAAGATCTTACTCTAGAGTTGCGAACGCTCAACTTGAGTATGGAGGACTTGCAGCATCTGCAATAAATCGAGACTTAGACTATAGCCATAGATTGCAATATAGGAATAGATTAATTTGTGTAATTATAATAAATACTGTGTCTTGGATAATATTTCGTAATACTTCCACTAATTTTAGGTATTCTGCTCAAGCTATCACTCGTGATTAATTTAAACTAATTCAATACACATTTATTCCATTTGCAGTGACATATGAAGTGATAACCGAACCCGTCGTAAAAACCTATAGCTTGATGAAACGCGCTCGTTTACCAAAGACATCGGAGGAACTGAAATACAACCGCACTGCCTCCGGAAACAGCGTTCTGCATTGCGGCGAGCACCGATACCTTAGGAACTCTGCCTACAAGGATAAGGTCTACTGGAAGTGCAGCAAGTGGCGGAAGCAGTGTCGAGCTCGCGTCATCACACAAGTTATGCCGGATGGAAAATCATGCTATTCTGTTGGTGGAGTGCACAACCATTAATCACTCATAGATAATTTATTTAACATCAAATAACCTGTCGAACGATGCCAGTCAGACTTGATAAGGCTTAAGAATTTATGATAACTAAATATTTAGTTAAACACATGGCTGTTTACATATAGCCACTTAGCAATAACACACATTAAAGGTGGCTCAAGTCAAATTATATTTATGCCAAATAAGAAAAATGTTCTCTTATAGAATAAGATTTAGAATATAGAATTTAGATTTACGTTTAAAATATTCCAGAAATTACCTAGGAAACGAACAGATTAATCAGGTGAGTTTTTTTTGTTCAATATTCAAAATAATTTCTAATCTTAAAAAATATTTTTTATAGAAATGAATCATTTGGTTTATGGATGGCTTGGCTTTTTGTTTATTCATTTAATTTTAAATGACATTTTTATTTTGTTATATTTTTTTGTAATATACTTTATGGCTTTGTTTATCTTCATTGGTGTTTTTATTTTTATTATGCACATTTATATGAGTTTATATTTTATACTAATATTATTTTTAATTTTTATATGCATTTTATTAACATATTTTCAAACTTCAATTCTAGATCTAACTGATGTTGATCCTAGTATCTTGGGTGATTTTGGCAACGAAAGCTTCCTTCCCAAGACCCAAGGAACGGTGCGTCAAAAGATTCGTTCCGGATTGGCAGAAGATCAGAAATGTATGCGAACTCTTGATGATTGGGATCGAATTCGTTATGAGCGGACAGTGACCGGAGATGTTCTTATTTACGACGGACAACGATATGTGCGGCGGGCCAACTACGAAGACAACATTTACTGGGTCTGTGCTAAGAAAAGGTTGAACTGCAAAGTCTATATGATTACCCACAAGACAAAGCCCACTCAAGTAGCCATTTCAGGAGTCCATAATCATGTTTAAAAGAATCCAAGCTTTATCTCCGCATAATCAAACTCTTCATCCAAATACATCAGAATACATCAGTCATTTATCTTTCATCTTACTCAGGTAAGTTATGCGTAGTTCTAGGTTTTATTAAATTAACAATCGATATACATTTGTTCTATTAATGCTTACAGATATTTCTCAACAATTCAAAGAGGTTATAATCTAGGCTACCCGTCACCAAGAAGTCATTTTCCTGCCACGTACATAATTCACCAGAAAAAACCGCTCACAATTTATACAACCATAGATTAATATCTGTTAAAGAACCAATAAACTGACACAAACCCCTTAGGTTCATACTTGAATCCCGTTATTATTTTTAATGTCTAATTAATCCTTATGTTTTAACTGAATCATTTTAAACTAATTAGCAATTGTATTATTTCAGAACTAGCAGTTTTTGGAGTAGGTCAGAGGGGACGGACCGTCCTGTTGCTCCAAAATGAAAAGTTCGTGAAAAATCGCTGCTCTGCCTCTCGCACGTATTGGATTTGCTCAAAAAAAGTAAGTGTTTCAAAGAATATGTTATTCCATTATATAATTTTGATTTTAAGTTGCAAAGTTAAAAACTATATAATGTTGGTGTTATACTCTCTATAAGTTTTGCTTAAAGAAGCACTTATAGAAGAAACACTTAAGTTCAGTAGTAATACAATATTAGCTTGCTTATCAAAAATTGTCCTTATTCATTCTTTCTATTTTAATTAAATAAAATTATATTACTTTGTTTTTACAGGATGTAACAGTGTGTCGAGCCCGTGTAGTCACTGGCTTAGATCGTAAAGGACAGACGCGAATAATCAAAAGTAGCTACGAGCACGACCACAGCAGGAAGTTTCCAAACAACAATGTAAACTTGCTCATTAAAAAGGACAAGAAATATTTAACACTGGATACCTTGGATTAAATTTAAGTGCAATTTACCCAAAGTGCTGCAAACATTTCATTAGTTACTTACTTCTAAATAAATCAATTTTGCTAATCTTAAAGTGCATATCAGTGTCTCATTACATTAGGCCAATGGTGCTGGTGTATGAATTTGTTTAAACCTAATACTAATCTAACATTTTATATCATTTTCAGCCTTTCACATTGACTTTGCCGACTCAAAAAAGAACGGCGGAAAGCTGCTGGTGATCAATGGCTTCCGTTTCTTCCGGAATAAGAAGCGCGGTCATTTGCAATACTGGAAATGTAGAAACTACTATAAAGAGCGCTGCCCCGCCATTGCCATCCACGACGAGTCCACTTTAATTTTGCGATTGTGCCACCAGCACCAGCATACGGAGAGCAATGACATTGAGATAAAGCCATTGCCGGGTGGTTCTTCGGGGGATACCAAGTTGGCCGAAGGCGTAGAGTGGCACGGTCGTGAAGATGAGGCAGAAGATGTAGTAGCAGGTCCCGAGAATGCTCCACAACCAATGCCGCTTCCACGAGAGCCTCCTCCCTTGGTTGAACTCAAAACAAAGCCGGGAAACATGGAATTCTAGCCTTGATAAGATAGTATTAAACCCTAGTGTCTAAGGTTGTAAACTGTGTGTATTAAAAATAAGCAATGCAATTCGTTTTTCTAAATCCCTATTTTCTTTTAATTATTTATTTAATTAAAATTCTTAATTCTTTACTAATACATTCCTTTGACTTTGGTCTGCTTTTAGAAATCGACTACGGATATGGACAGTACCGTGGCAACAATCCTCACATCCAGTTCTCAACCTCAAAGCGCGGAGGTCGACTTTTGTGGCTGGACGGAATGAAGTACTTCCGGAACAATACGAACCGCAGAAACTACTATTGGAGGTGCCATTGGTATTACGTCTCTCGCTGCCCAGTTCTCATCTCCATGAACAAGAACAATTCCAATGATTTCCGGCAGATCCACAACCATTGCCACGTCCGAACGAAGCGAAAGCCGAAGGCATCGCCTTCGAAAGGCTCTCCCAAAATAAAAACTCCTGTTGTCTCTAGTGTTAGGAGTCTGCCACAGAGCATGGCGCATCTGTTTAACTTTTAGCTTAAGACTGGCCATATTCACTAAATTTAAATAAAACATAATCTGACTATAGATAATTACCCGTTTTTGTGCTGTTTTAGTTAGTAGTGCTTGCAAATGTATTTCAAATATCTTTTATCCATTACTAATACTTTTTCTATTTTCGCAATCTTTTTTACAGTGGTTCTGGCTAATGACGAGGTGCCCAATCCGGAGGATGTACTTGTATTCTTTACCCAATCGCTGCGCGGTCGTCCCGCCATTATGGCCAATGGCATTCGTTTCCTTATCATGAGCGAGAACAAGAAAAAGATCCTCTGGCGCTGCAGCTCTATGGCTACCAAGAAGCTTAAGTGCCCCGCCCGTATTACCATGTTGAAGGAAACTCCTCCGAAGTTTATTATCAACAAGGCGGATCACCTGCACGCGGAACTCAAGCGTAATAAGTATAGTTCCAGCAAGGGGCAAACGCTACGTGAGACGCGCCAAATAGCCACCCACAAAATGGACTGTGAGATCGACGGCGCCAGTGGCGTCAACTTTGATCTCCACGAAGAGGAGCTCAATGAACTCACCCACGACGTCTAGGGATCTGATATTTAGCTTTAGGTGTACATTAAAGACACGAACCGTTGATCATTCATTCAAAATAAATTGAAACTAAATTCATTGTTTAGGACTTTTGAATATAAAGGAGTTTTTGTTAAAAGCTTCGAAACTTTATTAATAATTTCTCAATTTTCTTTAAGCAGTAGTTACCCATACCGGAAGATGTCTGAAAAGGGTAGAAAATAACTTAATAAGAATAATCTCTGCCATTTTAATGATATGTATATTTTATATACTATTCATTTACATCTACTAACCATTTATTATTACTTTTGTTCATTACAGATAAATTTGATTATGTGATCAGTCAAAAGGGTCGTGTTCTACTGCGCCATGGCCATTTCTACTATCTCCGCGAGAAGTGCATCAACGATAAAACCTACTGGCGCTGCACCCAGTACACCACCCAAGCCAAATGTCACGGTCGTGTCCACACGCTCCATGGAAAAATCGTACACTCCAGCAGGCACAACCATAATCCTTTAACCAAGAAACGCAAGAATGTTGTCGAGATTGTAAAATTGGAATTTTTGGGGCCAAAATCACAGGTTTCTTAGGAAAATCCTTTATATATTTTCTTATTTGATATTTTTCTAGTTTTAAATTTTTAAATGAATTGTAAACTTGCAGTTCAGGATGGACCTGTATTATATAATTATCATTTATTTTGAACAGTATTTTAGATTTTTTAGTTATGGATATCCAATACATAAAAAAAATGTGAAGAAGGCGAACGATTTTTATGGAAAATAAACAAAAAAAATACACAAGAGTTTTTCGTTTGAAGTTTAAGTATTTTTAATTTGAAATTTATGTATAATATAATCTCTTCACTATGTAATATATAATTGTTTTTCTTTCAGATACTTCTCTAGTGGCTCAATTTACCTGCACCCGCAAAAAAAGACGTAAATTGATCATTGACTCCCATGAGTTTGTAATGGATCGGAAGCTGAAAAATAGCATTAATTGGCGCTGTGCCAGATATAGAAGTGCCAACTGCAAAGTGCGAGTAACTACTCATTTGTTGAAGAGTGGCGAGGAGGTGTACAAAATCAAATATGCGACCCACTCGCATACGTAAAGCAAGGGACCTGGCGAAAAAAATAAATCAAACTTTTAAAGAGTTAATTAAACCAATACAGACCCAAATATAATAAAAGAAAAAAAGCATTTCCGTTGCTATATTATTTTGACAAATTGTAAATGAGGATTTAATATAAAAATAAATATAAATCAAATTGTAGTTACTAGGAAAAGAATGTAAAAATATTTACAAACTTTAGCTGCTATTATAAGGATGCAATCTAATTAAGCGATATCATTTTTTTCTACTTCCAGATGCTATCCGCAAGAAGGGTATCATGATTGTCAGGGGAACAAAAGGTAAACCAAAGCTACTTATGGGAGGCTACGAGTATTTTCGTAACAATGCCCGGGGAACAAAGACTTATTGGCTCTGTGCCCGGAATCGTTATTTACGCTGCGCCGCCCGAATCATCACCTGCTCGGCCACCGGAGAACTGATCATCAAAAACCAGCAGCACAATCATGACGCTGTCGATAAGGCGGATGCCAAACCAAAACCCAGCACCTCAAGTCCCAAATAGTTTAATTAGTGTATACAAAAGTTTATATAGCATTCCATTTTCGGACATTTTTCGTTTTTTTTAATATTAACATCACTGGACATTAAAAAAACGTATATTTTAGTTTCAAAACAAGAAAAGAAAGATAACTTCGGGCGGAGCCGAAGTGATATACTATACCCCAGCGAATAAGATTGGATATTTTTGCCAATATCGCATTTAGTAGGCCGATCCGTTTAAGAATTTTGTTATAAAACCAATTTAATGGAATACAAAACTATAACAAAAAGTCCCAAGCTTCTATCTTTAAAAATACTAATTTTTATATTTGTATGTTTTTATTTTTATCAAATACCTAGTTTTTTTTTCTAATTCTTCAGGTACATGAAAGCTGTAGGATATAGACGACCGATTCTTATGAAACTTGGTAGATAGTAGATTTCATGATGGGATCCCTTAAAAATGGGGATTTCCCCTATAGGGCCCACAGTGATGGCTATATCTTCCCCAATTCTCATCCGATTCTCAAGCGGAGTACCTTAAACGATTACTAGATCGATTTGCCATCATTCTGCATCAAAATCCTGAGACAAAATATTTTTTGGATTTTTTGTCCATTTTTCATGATGGGATCCCTTGAAAATGAGGTTTTCCCCTATAGGGCCCACAGTGGTGGCTATATTTTCCCCAATTCTCATCCGATTCTCAAGCGGAGTACCTTAAACGATTACTAGATCGATTTTCCATCATTCTGCATCAAAATCCTGAGACAAAATATTTTTTGGATTTTTTTCCCATTTTTCATGATGGGATCCCTTGGAAATGGGGTTTTGCCCCATAGGGCCCACAGTGATGGCTATATCTAACCCAATTCTCATCCGATTCTCAAACGGAGTACCTTTAACGATTTCTAGATCGATTTGCCACCATTCTGCATCAAAATCTTGAGACAAAATATTTTTTTTATTTTTTTGTCCAGTTTTCATGATGGGATCCCTTGAAAATGGGGCTTTCCCCTATAGGGTCCACAGTGATGGCTATATCTTCCCCAATTCTCATCCGATTCTCAAGCGGAGTACCTTAAACGATTTCTAGATCGATTTGCCACCATTCTGCATCAAAATCCTGAGACAAAATATTTGTTGGACTTTTTGTCCATTTTTCATGATGGGATCCCTTGAAAATGGGGATTTCCCCTATAGGGCCCACATTGATGGCTATATCTTGCCCAATTCTCATCCGATTCTCAAGCGGAGTACCTTAAACGATTTCTAGATCGATTTGTCACCCTTCTGCATTAAAATCCTAAGACAAAATATTTTTTGAATTTTTTGTGATTTATTTTTGAATTTTTTGTTTTTATCTCAAATCGTTTAATATTGGCGATATTCTTAATTTCCTTTAATTCTCAACCATATTACAGGGTAAGTTTCTTACAAAATAGAGGTATATTATTAAATGTCATTGAACTTTCAAATTTCTTTATCATCTGGGAGAAGCTGTTTGGTCTAAAATTACTATGAGCCCTTTGTACCCAAGCAAATATTGACTTTTATTTTAATATAGAAATTTTTCCAAGAGCCGAGATGGATATAATAAACAGATACTGTTCATATACATTTTACATTGATGGGTAGTGTGTCAACGAACGTTTATATCAACAATCCTTTGTTATTGTGTTTCTGAAGCACGGTCAGTGAGTTCGTAAATTGATACCACACACAATGACGGGTTCTGCTAATTCCTTAAGTAAACTTTGCGGCTCTTGTTTATACAAATTGGATGCCAAAGCCGAAGGAAGGGTAGTCTGGGAGTGATTGAGGAGCTGATTCAGCTTTCAGGCACTTGAAGTGTGTCTCATAAATTCCTTAAGTGTGGCATATTAATCTGCTATTGCATGCATTTGTTTGCATTAAGAAAGCGAGCACAAAATAATTGTGGTCAGGTTTACAATTATAATAAAATCTATATGCCGTTTATGGCTTTTATTTTACAAATTGTAATATATAAATCTTTCTTTATGTTGATTTCTGTCGAAATCTTTTTATTGAAACCTTCGAACTTTACTTCTCAAGACTTTTAGCACTCACTGTGCGAATCAGTATGCATCAGTTCATCTGCATGTATACGTAATTATGCTTACAAGCCTACATTAGCTTGAAGTGCAAACAAATATGACTAAGCACCTTGAAGTGACAAATATTTGCTTACGATTAATTTTTGATATAAATAAACACCAAAAGGATATTTGCTTTATGATCTTTATTGAAAAGGCCAAATAAGTTATCTACTAATTAGTAATTGGAATTTCCCGCCAACGATTTTTGAAAATTGTGGCAGTTGGCAATACTGCTAAATATCGATAAGTCTTATTGTAAATTTTGTTTAAGGCAGGACGTTAAACTTTTAAATTGATATTAAAAACTATATAAAAAACAATATCGAACAAGAAGAAGATACATTTTTGTCTAGAATATATTTTAACATATTTGTTTTATTTACAAATTATATCTGTATATTTTCGCTCGCGAAAAGTGTGACCAGATATGGAATGGTTCAAACGCGAGAGTACAACATTCTGGGTAATCGAACATCGAACACCGAACCGTGCGGACGTATCCGCGTACCGCGTAGATACACATCCCATAGATACAAGATACAATTTCCCTAGCTCGTAGGTGGTGTGTATTGCAGCAGAAGCGGAGGTTTTCTCTGCTGCGCCGAGCCCTCTGCCGCTGCCCATTGATTCCCAATCCCGTCCGTGTGAGAGCGACGCATTGAATTTTATTGAAAATTCAATAAAACAAAGAACAGTGAAAATCGGTCCGAGGTACGCTATTCAAATTACATCCAGCGAGTTCAAGGCTTTTCCCTTGGAAAACGAAGAACGAAAACTGCATACATTTTGGTGTACGATATACCTTGAAAATCGATGTGAGTGTGTGAAGCGTGAATCGAAGTGTATCTGCGAGGGTCCGAGCCCCGCTTGACTCAATTTAATTGATATTAAAATATAGAAAAAGTGCAAGAAATACAACATTGTCTAGCTGGGTGAAAAGTATCTAAACCCCAATTATTCGGCAAACGCTCGGTTTAATTCGATTGAGGAGCCGAGAGGGGCGATGCGAGGCTGGGAGTGGAGAGCGACAGACGTAATCTAAGAGTGCAAACGGTGGTGGAGCTGCTCCCCCAACGACAACAACTACAACAACAATGCTGAGAAAGCATCAGAAGCAGAAGTGACTTTGGCTCGGCTCGGCTGTCTCTCAGAGTTTGGCTCTTGCGCAGAAAGCTGCGAACTCTGCGAATTCGCCACTTCGCCGCCAGCAGTGAGCAGGGAGCTGTGAGCTGTGAGCAGTGAGCAGTGACTGTCTGTTTGGAAACACCTTGCTCCAATATTTCCCACCACCCACCACCCCCCGACGCCGACAACGACACCGACACCGACCGATTATTGCCCGATTTTGCGATTGCGAGTGGCACAAACGGCGAACGGCGAGCAGATTCAGTCTCAGTTTCGGTTCGTGCGCGTTCTGCTGCCCTGCAGCGGAAAATTCGAAAAGCCATCCCAAGAACCTATGGAGCACCACCAGCACTAGCTCCCAAGAAGCTTCCACAAAGGAAAAAAAAAAAAGAAAAATAGTGGGCAACAAAGTTTCGAAATTTTCCAATGCTGGTAGCTGAATTTTTATTTAAAACAACAAGAACTAAAACAAGAAGAACGGGAATAACCAGGAGTCGACGAAGAAGAAGAACCCTAGTAGCAACTTCAACATTGTCGCTGTGACACCGACGCCAGCGTTAGCGTCAGCGCCAGCGTTGCTGCAGCGTCGCAGCATCATCAGCCAGCTATGAACTACAACTACAACTACAAAAACAACTGGAGCTCCAGCAGCAGCAACAACAACAACGAAAGCATAGAACAGGTTTGTACACTCGCCATAGCTGCTCTCCAACTTCTAACTCCGAACTTGGCTGGCCCGTTCGCTTATTCATAACTTTTTTAGCTATAGCTATAGATTTTTGTCACCCCCAAAAACTGGGAGCTCCACCCCCCACCCCCATCCCCCATTCCAAGCCCCAAACCAAACCAAACCCAATTGCCCCAACGACAAAAAGAACCCATCACCTTACCTCTCTCTCTGCCACCTCCCACGTAGCGCCATCATCCTTCAGTTGCTCACATGCTCAACTGTTTCAGTTTTTCAATTATTAATGGTGGCCATTAGTGCGCGCGCCGTTCGAGCGCCCCCGCCCTCGCCCACGACCCCTAACCATGCCCCTGCCCCACCCGCTCTGGCTTATTCCCCGGGACTCCTTCACAGGAAAAAACCGTCTGAAATCAAGATATTGGTCTTGAAATCGGAAACGAGACTTTTCAACGAAACGACTTGTTTTAAAAGCGTTTTAAGATTTGAATTTCAAGATGTTTTAAGATTTCAGTCTTAAGGTATAAGATCAGGAATATCCACGAAAACAATAAACATTTTAAATTTGAGATAAATAAGGAACTCCCTCCAAGGTTATAGTATGTTTTTCAAATAAAATAACGTTATTATCGTCTGAAAAATTGTAAACATTATTATTTTAAATATTTCTTATGTATAATACTACTTAAAAATTAAAAGAATTATATAACAAAAATCTTACTAGTATACGACTTCTTAAAACCGGACGTTTTTACTTGAATCTTCACGTTTCAAATTTAATTTTCCCAAATATGCCTACAGAGGTAGAATCTTTTTCTGTTTGGAACATAAAGATTTTCAGGGATTAAGACCCTCAAAATTGGTTTGTGGCTATTTAGTTATCAGTACGATAGTAAACTACAAATATTTAAAATTCTCGAAAACGCCCGTAACTTAGATACGGGTTTCGCTCAGTGCCAGTCGATGCTTTTTCCGTTTCCTTATCGGACAAATTGTGTTTGTCTGAAAAGTTCAATGAGGTGCGCGCTGCTCAATGCAATTGCACCCAGCCCAACCACCCTGCTTTTTGACCAACCGAGCCGTCATATTTATGTTATCGACGGATAGATAAAAATCATGTTGGTACAATGTATGCATGGGTTCCCGTTCTCCTCGATAGCAGACAGCCATCCCGTGCGGCCCGCAGCACGGCGGAAATGTATTGCATTAAGGGAATTGGTCCGGGTCCGGACTCCGGAGCTGACTACACGGAGCTGTTGATTAATTTACCTCGAGGCGGTACGGGGCGGTGCGTGTGCGTTTGAGTTTGCGTTTCGGATCGGAAGTGTGTTTGTCCAATGTGTACAATCTCTATTTATATTTATTGCATAGTTCGTTGCTCTGCAAAGAATGCGATAAGATACGCCGGTTAGTCACTTGGAGTGAATAAGGATTGTCGCATTTGGGGTTAAGAAATGTGCAAAACCTGACAAATGCGCTGCGAGTCATAAAAGGCAGTAGTCAGGTAGTCGGTGAGACAGATGTGTCACCTGAAAGATAACAGCGTCGTAAAAATATTCAGACCAACTGCCTCGGGTCGTGTCTTGGGAGGGCTTAAGATTCATTACCTAATGGAAAGTTTTTGAAATATAATATGTATTAATATATCTCCTAATCTCCCCATCTTTAGTAAGACCTAGTAAGTCCTATTGTAGGAGTTCTATTCAAAGAATACAATTATGTTGAAAGGCTTTTATGTTCCCTTTGGGTCTAATCATTTTGGTATCCAACTTATCGATCAATTTGACCAAAATTAGTTCAGCTTAATTGTTCTGCCCGCTTGTATAGACAAAAAGAGGGTTAAGAATTGCTGACGACTGCCAGCGTTATTATCCCATCTAAGTCGCACTTAACCTCCCCCCACACCCCACAACCAACGGACACCACTACCCTTATCGTGCGGGACACATGTGTCCATAATAGACTGTGTGGCATGAACGGAGGCTATCAGTTACCACGGCCAGACCAGACCACCTGAAAAACCAATAAAGTCATTTCACACACATTAACCTAACCGAACCGAAAAAGAAATGGCAAAACACGCAACCATGAAGGGGAACCCGGCCATTTGATAATTGCATGAGGTGTTTTTTGGACCACGTTCATCTTCCAGACTCTTTGTCATCCTCTTACCCAACCTCCCAGGACCAACGTCGAGCCACCCCGTCACCCCATCATCCCAATACCCAAAGAGGAATTCGGCAAACACATGCGAAACGCTGCTTGGTCACATATGTTGCCCAAAGTGATTATTTTCACTAAAAATAAACGAAATTAATGATTGATGAAGTGAGACAAGGGAGCGAACGCGAGAACGAACGCGAACACATTCAATCCATTCCGTCCTGGTCGGCATGGTCTGTGTCCCCTCCAGAAAATTCAGGACAGCCGTCAACACCAGCCAACCCCAGTCGCAATTTTCAATTTCAATTCCGATTCCGATTCGAAACGAGCCTGAGAATCCGGTGGTTCCTAGCCAATGAAATGGGAAAGGAAAACAAAGACCGGGGACAGGGCCAGAGCCGTAATGAGAAATAAGCCGTCACATAAAAGAAAAGTGTCTTTTAATTGAAACCAGGTGAAGGAGATGTCTTGGACTCGGAAACAGTAAAAGCAGCAGCTCGAGCAGAGCAGCGGAATGGCAATCGAAATCGGACCGTGTGCCCCGGCTAGAAGATTCTTTGTGACCATGCCGCACTGTCGCTACCAGACGGAAATCATAAAAATGTTGCATAAAAATATTTTTTATGTGTGTTGCTGCTGTTGCCTCCGTTGCTTGGGCTGCTCTGGCGTCTGCGTCTTTTGGCCTGGTGAAAATAATAATAAAATGGGAATAAAATAAAGCAAGTAGAGGCGGAACGATACGGAGCGATACGAAACGGACCCGTTGCCCCATACCCAGGCCGGGTGCCGTGCCACACATTTCGTTTATATTTACTTGACAAGTTTTTGCACTGCGTCGACACGTCTCCGTCTGCTTTTGCCTTTGTGTCTGTACCAGAGCTGCACTTAAAGAAAAATTATATGGTCCAAAAGATAAAACTAATGGGTTTTCTTGAACTCAGAGATTATAGGTTTAAAGTCAGTCTTGGCTTTCTCTAGTTTACCTCTAAAGATCAACAGCTAAGACCATAAATACTATTAGTAATTTCTGAAAACCATCCTAACTTACTCATTTTCATTAGTGCAACCAATAGACCATCTTTATTGATTAATGATGGACCTTTTCCCGGCCAATTATCAATCACACTCTTCTCCAAACACAAAAACCAAATCTGAAAGGCAATTGCGAATAATTGCGAGTTTTTTGGCTGATTTATAATGTGCGAATTCCTTCCGTTTAAACCACACTTTTTTGCGAATGTAGGAGCTTCTCCTTTCTGGCTGGGACTGGTGTCTTGGGTCGTCCGTTTGCCATTTTTGGCGGCTGCTATGCAGCGGCGCTCCACGTCATCAACAACATCATCAGCACGGTTCAGGGATGGGGATGGGGATGGCATGGGGTTTGGTCTGGCCTGGCCTGTTTTATAGTCCAAACGTGATAGCAATATGTGCCCGTCTTTGAGTTCGTCCTATGGCTTCAACCCAGCCCGGCTGCCCCCTCCCGGAACAACCCTCCCGCTGTGCATTTTCGTGCAGTTTCGAGGGGGCTGGGGTTGGGAGTTGGAGCAGTTTCTTGGCAGTTTCCTTGGTGGAGGGGTGCGCCTCGGAAAAATAAATTAATGGAAAACATGCAAACATAAATTCTCTTTAGCTGTCAGGTGTTTCACATTTTAAACGTAAATTATAAATAAGCAAAGTAAAATTATAATTCCGCCTAAATGTTTTATTTGCCACCGTCTGCGTCGGCTGTCATTTCGCCCCCGTTCTTGTCCTTTGGACACATTTCTCCTCCTCCTGCTTCTGTGGCACATTTCTTTTTGTGGCATTTTCATTCTCTCTGTGGCTCTGTGTCTTTTTTGGGGAGAATTAATTTTATTCAAATTAATGATGAAGCTTATAATTGGCCTCGTTTTCGTGGTATATTTTTTTTTCATTTTTTTTGGTTGTCTCCATCCGCTCTCCAATTTTAAATAAAGACACTCTACTGTGTGGACGGCAACATAGTCAGTTCCAGGTCCATCTCCGCGTCCGTGTCCGCCTCCGGCTCCAGCTCCATCTCAATTTCCCTCGTCATATCCATCTCCAGCATGGCATCCACCATGGGATGGGGCAGCTTTGGCTTTTTAAGAGCATTTGACATGACTTGGGCTTCATTTTCCATTCGATGCGCCGCCGCCTCCACTTTGATTATGACGTGAAGTTGGCCAAGTGCAAATACTTTGCTGGTACTTTTTAATTAACTTAATTAGCATAGCTGATGGGCTAAGAGCAGCGCTTATACAACATCAAAATTGCATTATACCTCGCCTAGCTCTGCTGCTGACTTGGCGAGCGTTTCGTTTCGGCAAAGTCACCGCCCATCCCCCAAAGATGCCATCCTTCCTCCCCATTTTGATTTAGATTCGTTGGAGCATGCTGAATTTCTGAGTAGAACCTTCATGACATAATACATGACACATTGCCAGGCGGCACTTGAAGTGAATAGAGTGGAGGAGCAGCATTTTCAACCTACTCTCCCGGGCCACAATGTTACTTTCATACACTCGGGAGCTGTACGGGCTGTGTAATCAATTCAGAAATTTGACGGAGTGAAGATTAATTAGTGCGAATATCAGGTCGAGATGACTAAATACGAAAAGACAACAATTTGATTATATTTCAGTAATTTAAAACGTCTGTGTACTGTGTACGATTATGTATACAAAGAGCTGCCGTTGAGTTAAAAATAATAATAGATAATTGCATTTCAATGTTTTTATTTGCAATTCCAAAGCATGAATTTATTTTCTGGAAATAAGCTTTGAAATATTCCAGCTATTTAATTACTAAAAATAACTGCAAATTCTCTGTGTCATTCCTCTTCATAAAGACTAAATTAAATTAAAACGGACTTGAGTTCAATCAGTTTTAATAAATAAATTCATAAAAACATACGTTGTGTGGCATTTTCCGCCTGAAATACAAGAATTCTCATAGTAGATACTTTCACACCCATGCAAATTGATGGATTGACTATCAGCCTCTATAATTTGTCAAAGGGTTCCATTTGAAATGGGGGACAAGCCAGAAGAAATTAATTTATATTCAATGTGGATAGTTTCCAGCCATCGCCCCGCTCCACGAATGTGTCCAATTAAGTTTCCATCAATTGGGGAAATATTTATGCTCACATGCGATACGAAAATTACAAAACTGATGACGGTCGGCGATCGTTCCACGCACATGAGGAGAATTCTGGAAAATCTCCCAAGTGCTTGATGATGACTTCCCCCCCAAGATGGCTGGAGGCGCTAAATGCAGGAAAAGATTAGAGCGGAGGAAGTGCTGGAAGGGGACTGGAAGTGGGTCGGTGGATATGCGCATTCCATAAAAAAAAAATCGATGCGTATAAATTTTTGTCTAATTTTTTTATAGCGCGTGATTTTTGATTTACGCATTGTTGGGAGGTTTTATTTCGATTGGAGTGTCGGTTTCCCAGAGACCATATTTATTTTTATTGCTTTTTAATGCGCCGTCGAGGAAGTTTTATTTTTGGTATTCGAATTTCGAACAGCACTGCGTATGTGCTTTGGATGCGTGTGGATTGTGGATTGCCGAACAATGAATCTTGTGGGATTATTTATATATGCGAGTGCGATTGTGATTCCGGGGTGGGGGTTGAGGGTGTCTGTAGCGTCACTGCGGTGGCGCTTTATTTTAAATTCAAATTTTCCGCCACCTTATATCATATTTACTTGGCACTGCCGTCATGTTTGCGCTTTATAATAATAAAATATTCCACTCTTGTCTCTGCTCCCACAGGACACGCAGCAACAAATGCAGGCAGCCGTCAGGACAACGGGCTCTAGCGCCAGCGCCAGCACCAGCACCAGGACCAGCTTCAGCCACACGTCCACAACCAAGACGAGGGCAGGAACAACGTCGTTAATCTATTTACCGCCTTTCTGCTATCCATGTAAGCATGTGCCTGCGGCCAGCACTACAAGGAGCAGGAGTCGGAGCAAAAGCAGAAGTCAGGAGGAGAGCTATAGAGGAGCAGGAAGCAGCTGTTGTTCTCGGCCTGGCTGGGAACACAAAAATTATGATAAACATGCTTCAGCGGCGACGTTGACACCAGCAACATCAGCTGCAGTCGCCAATTCAGGACCTGCAACGGCCACAATGTCCTCCTCTTCGCGCTCCTCCTCCTCCTCCACTATGGACGCCTCCGTGTTGGCCTCCAGGGCTGGTGAATTCCTGCAGCCGGGTATTCAGTTACCCGTGGCCGCAGCGGGGCATGCCTGCACCGATCTCCGGCAGACGTCGCAATTAGTTATGCCCAGTGTTGCAGAAGCGGGTGGCGGCGTCTTGGAATGCGGCAAGCGATGCTGGCGACGTGAGCGAATGCGGCGAGGCGAACGACCAAGTCATGCGTCTGCGGCTTCGCTGGCCCAGGTAAATCCAATCAGCACTTTCGCAGCAACAATAGAGGTGGCAGCAACAACAGCAGCATCAAGAACAACCGCGCACAACTCGCTAACAACGACAACGACAACTACAGATACAAATACAAACATAACTACAACGGCAAGGGGCACCACTGGCGCAGTCCTGCCGCAAGATGAGAACAAGGAGTATGATGAATGTAGGTGCTTTAACTATAACGGTGATATTAGTCCGGAGCGACTTTCCGGCATTACGTGGCTGATGTTCTTGTGGCAGCATCTGCTGCTGCTTCTACCGGGCAACAGCAACAGCAATGGCAACGGCAACGGAAACAACTCCCACTTCGCAAGGAAAACGGCAAGGAGCAACAGCAGCATGACGTCGACAAAAAGTTGGCTGGGACCGTTGCTAATGCTCCTGCTGGCCACGTCCGTCAGCGGCTGGGGTCGGCAAGATGGTGAGTACTATCGTCCTGTACTATAGCATTGGGTGGAGGCGCCCCCGCCGATAAGTAGCGTTATGATAAGAATTTATAATTTCACTTGGCGCGCCAAGAAAAAGGACCCAAAATACCGCCCCCGTGTCCTCCCGCTACTCCTCAACAATTTCATTTAATTTTTGTGGCATAATTTGGACTGGCAACATAGCGTCAGCTGGCGTACTCATCCCTCCTATTTAAATCCAAAACTCCCTCTACCAAGACCACCCCCTGCCACTAGCCCAGCCCCTGCCTCCTCTGCCTCCTTCTCCTCCTCCTCCTGCCACGCTCCTCTGGTCATGCTCAATTGAATCCATAAGTAGTTTGTGACCGCAGATCTGCGTTCGTATAATGCGTTTCAACTGTTTCTCCATGAGCGAATTTACCCCAAAAAAAACCAACAACAAAAACAATAAAGTAAAAAAAACAAAAACAATGAAAACAACAAGCGAGGAGCAGCAAACAGCAACAGCCGCTCCGCAATGGCAATAGCAGTGGCAAATTGTACGGAAATTGCCCGAAACAAACAGCCAGCAACCGCCGACCGCTGACCATAATTCACTCAAGTTAGACAAAAGCATTTGGTTGCGCCTCCCCCTCTTTAGCCTCGCCTACGCAGCTGTCCCTCCGGCGGCATAAAACCGAAAGCCCAAAATCCAGAGCCCCGAAGTCCAAAAAACCCAAAAAGCAAATGAGTCGCCGGCAAGCGTCATGCCTTTTGAGTTCTCCGCTTGTGGATGTACGAGGCCATAAGTGTTTGTCTCGACGTCCGGGGTGCGTATGGGTATATAGTCAGTCAATAAGGGTGGTCGGTCGGGCCAGTAATGGTGTTATAAGGGAGCTCCTGTAACGCCCAATACACCCATGCTGCCAATAGCTCCTCATCCCCCTTCCAGCCACTCCAAATGCCCCTAACGAAGCACTTCAAATTGCGCACACCCATAAGTGTGGGCCACATAATTGGGTTAAGGAGTTGTTAGCGCGTTGAAGTTGTCATTATAGATCATCGTTTCTAGATAAGATAAGTGTACGTTGCGAGCGATAGGAAATTGCTTGTCATAACAGGGACGCACAAATGACGGAGTACTAGGTACATAATTAATATCGTGTTGAATATTCTCGCCGTCAATCTCAATTGTGGACAGATCTAGGAAAAAACTGTCAAAAGGCTGTGGTTAATTTTTAATTGCGGAAACAATAAAAACCCATTGGGTGTACTTACAGTTTAATATGAAATTAATCTGACAAAAGGTGGCTTGTAAGGCGTATTGCTTTTGCATTTTCATTGTTAGGAAATAAAATATGTTACCATATATTTTAAATAGTTCTGTTTGAAATATTTAAAGGGCGGAATCATTGAAACCATATTGGTTTTTTCAATTTGCAACAATTACAGCGAATTAATCTGGCAAATGGCAGCTGCTAATTATTTGTACATTTCAAAGTTGTTTAATGCGTATTGATTTTCCATTTCGTTTTAAGAATCTTACAATAAAACACACACGTGCCAGGTGAGCCGGAAAATGTTTCAAAAAGCTCTCCATAAAACCCTTTGACGGTGGAACATAATCTTTGAAGAAAACATATTGTATATTACCTTTCGAAATCCCGAAATTTAGTCAAACATATGTATGTGTCTTTATGTCTGCATCGGAAAAGTGATTTTAGTTAGCATTTCCATATATCTGACAAAGCTGGCGAGATTTATTTTGATTAATGCACCTGATTACTGTCACTTTATAGGGATCCGATCCATTGTGAGGAGCAACTCTTTCCGAATATTTATTTTATTTTTGTCCGCCCACCTCCGGGTTTTGTTTCTGTTGTTGTCTAAGCTTCTCAAAATCACCCACCCACCATGTTTTCATGTGTTTTCCTTGTGTTTTGTTTTTTTTTTCTGAGCCACTCTAATCCATACGAAAAACACACCGAAAATATATCTCAAAAGCCCCGTGCCCCGTGTCCGCATTCGCGTCCGTCATTTCAACTGTCTATACGCATTTGTACGCTTGTCTGTCTGAATTCCTGCCTGCCTGACTGGATGACTGGATGACTGCCTGCCTGACAGTCAGTCGGTCGGTCGTGGTCGTGTATTTGCTTTTAGCTTGTATTTACTTATGCTTGTCCTGCAGCATATTTCGCTGGGATATTCGAGGGACAGCATTTCAGGGGTGGCGAATTAAGGGCGGTGAGGAGTGGAGTGGAGGGGAGTCGAGGGGAGAGTGCGATGATTGTGTTGCCCGCAGCAAATGCAAAAGCAACAGCCCAGCACTCAGGCAAAAAGTATTGAATCATGTTGGAAAATTATTCACGGTACTTGAAATTGGCGAAACAATTATTCCTTGGTAGCGTTCCGGCTTCTCTGTTCTCTGTATGCTGTTCCCTGTTCCCGGTTCCGGACTTTCAGAGTTTCAGAGTTTCGGGTTCGCGCCTGGATTCCGATTCGGATTCGGAAACGGTTTCGTTTTCCGTTCGGGGCGGTGGCCGCCCTGCAAAGTATGCTACACTTTTCACACAAGGCAGCCCGCTGTGCGTATGGGCCGCATTATGACAGCCAGCGAGCTTGGCTCGTAAAAAGCACAAGTCATTGGACAACATACACTTACAGTTCCAGTTCCAGCTATAGCCCCATACATATACGCTCGCGTGTGAGTCTGTCTGTGTGTTTGTTGGCCATAGTCAGAGGTCTGAGCTGCGGCTCAGAAAGGCTCAGAGTTCACAGCGCTGTGCTGATCCTGCGCATGAGGACCTTTTGTTTGCCGCAAATGTAAAAACAAAAAGCGAAAAAATGGAATCAAAAAGGAACAAGTAAAATAAAAGAAGGCAAAGGAATAATAAAATAAAATGTGTATCGCTGTGAGTGCGCTTGTATGTGTGTAGGGGGTCCTGCCATTGTCGATGTCCTGATGGTGTTACACGGGCAAAAATTAATTTGTATTTATAACTAATATTAATTTGAGGGACTGTATTAGGTCATTATTGACTTGAAAAATTTAAGAATTCTCTTTGGAAATTCAAGCTTCGCTTAAAGGACCTTTTGACTAGTAGAAAGTATTAATCACTAGCTAATGGTTTCGTATGGAAAAACCTCATTCCTCTATCGATTTTGAACTATATTTTCTGACTCTGCACCGGCTCTTGAGCTTGGGTTGTATTTCTGTTTCTGATTCTGTTCCTGGCTCTGGTGCGCACATTCGTCTCTCCTTGCAAGTTTTCTGTATTTGAATGCGTAGCCTGAGCTCGGACCATTCTCCGGTCTCCAGTCTTCGTCTCCGACTCCATCTCCGTCTCTGAGTTCCCATGGCTCATAGACCACCGTTCACCGACCGCCTCCCATTTCCATCTCCGCTGGGGTTCGGGGTTCCTGCCCACCACCCTTATCCCGACGGGCAACTGGAACAACTCCCAACTCCTCGAAACGCCCAACTCCCATCGCCCGTTGCCCAAACTCCCTGCTGCTGCCAATCGTGCCCAAACATTAAGCTATATGTATTCGCTCAGAGGGTGGTTTTACCATTTTCTATACCGTATCCTTTGTGTGAGTGTGTGTGTGTGTGTGCCAGCGGGTCTATACCCATTGTATGGGATATAGTACTTATTGCCTGTGTGTATGAGTGCGGCATGCCGTTAGCTAACTTTCCGTTTACGTTTCTTTCTCTATACTTTGGCCTGGCTTTGCTACTCCTGCCCATTTTCTATTCGGTTTGGTTCGGTTCTGTCCTGCCATGTTCATTTTTGTGAGTCCTTTTCCTTTTTGTTGTTTTTTTTTTTTTAATATTCACAATTGCCATTTCGGTAGTTTTTCCACTCTGCATGTATGTGTCTGTGTGTGACATTATTATTATTACGAGCAGTTTTCGGCTGCCTGGCTTGTACAACTTATAAGTATTTATGTGCAGGCCCTCCCCTAAAACGGATACCCTATCCCACTGAGATGGCGGGTCGTAAATTTGCGGCCCCTTATGCGCACGCACTTAAATACAATCATAATAATAATTGAAACAATTTACAAATTAAAAAGCCACAAATCTTGGCACCAACTTGACAATACAATTAGAAGAGCAGCCCGAGAAGGCAAAAGAAAGTGGCCAACCGAAATCTAAATTTATCAATAAACGAGGGCTATTGTGCTTGAATAAACTTTCGAGGCAAATGCATTGATAAAGATTGCCGATTGCTGCTTGTGGTTGCTCTTTCATTCCTGTACACACTCTACATACTGCGTATATATACAAGTACACAAAATTATTCGTTTGCGGACATACCGAACATGACTCTTAAATGAACAATGAACGCAATTGAGGTCACACCAGTAATCTTCTTGGTCCACGGGGAGGCAATTGGAATATAATATCTTAATGCATTAATGGAAAAGTCTTTTATTAATAAATGATTGCTATATTTTTTGTTTTTTTTGGCTTTCAGCGCCCACAAATTGCACGTTTCCGGCCCGATGGGAGGGCTCCTGGTTCCTGTCCGGCTATCAGCAATCCATACACATCAAAGGCTCCCAGTTCAGCTATCGAGGCAGGTGTGCTGCCTCCGATGGTAACAAATATCTGATTGTCGACGAGTAAGTACCATCACCTCCGGCGGGGACCCATCACGCCCAGTCTCCTTGTACATTTTTGTTTTTATCGAGGCTGAGGCTGTGGGCCCCAGTCCGTAATGCTAACAATACGCTAACATCTCAACCCGATACTCGATCCATTGGCTGGCGAAGTACCCGTACTTTTTTGGCACATCGCGAAGAAAATGAGATGTTCTGGTTTACTTTTCCTTACATTTTATACATATATATGTACAATGCCCCCTCTTACATATATATATATCCTTTTTTTGAGTTGGTTCCTTTGTCGAAGAGTGCCTATAATTGAATAAGTTTTCATTTCTGACTGGGGAAGAAGGTGTGTATGTGTGTTTGGTAAACTGTGTTAAGGTAAGGCGTAGGACCCACCCAGCGAGCGGGAAAATGCAGCACTAACCTCATTAAAAAGGACCCAACTCAGCACCGGGCGGCGGGATGAGGCACGCGGTTCGAAGCGGTAAGGAGCGGAGGACAAAGACAACAGCTCGCAGGGGTGAGCAACTTCGACATCGACAGCGGCACGAAGACATATAAACTATAGAGTACACAGGAAGAAAATGGCCAGGCTTAAGGGCTCAAAGTTGGCTCACCTTTTCGATTAAAAGTTTTCCATTTGGGAAATTGACATTTAAAGATGACAATCAATACTTCGAGTTCTAAAGTTTGCAATGTCCTTAACGTAACTTAAATCGATTCAAGAAACATTCTAATTAGGTGATAGTTTGTATTACTAAAGGGAAAATATTTTTTATTGTATCTTATACGAGTTAAATTCCTTTTGTGAAGCGTAGTTAGTCTAGAAATATTAAAAAAGTCATTGAATTTCTCTCAGTGCATCACTAAACACACACAGGCAACCAAAACCTGTCGTCAACGTTATCGCTGTCGTTGTCGTTGCCGTTGTCGCCGCGTTGTTCTCGTTGTTGCTGCTGCCTGCCAGCTGCTGCTGCCGCTCCTGCTGCACCTCGTCCTTATGCCGCTGCTGCTGATGTAGCTGCTGCTCCTACCACTCTTAACTTTTGCCTCTGAAACGGGTTTGTTGAGTTTGTTTGCCGCACCATGCCGCCATGTCCTCGCCTCGGCGTGGCAGGGCTCTGTCTCGTTGTCTTGCTGTCTGGGAGGCAAAGCGTTGCTCGTAATTCGGATGTTTGACAAGAGCCAGTCATGTACCAAGACAAAAATCACCCAACCCCCCTTCTTTGAACCTCTATCTATATCTGTATGTGTATATAAGTCGAATAGATATATCCGTGTCTGTGTTTGTGTACCCACTTTTATTGTAAACGCTACTGAGCCAAAAGCTAAAAACTAAATCAAACTTTTTACGTACCCACGTCTTGTGTTTTTAATTTAGAGAACTGCCTTTTTGCCTAAAGAGTATCTTTTTCCACTTCTCTACCGACTAAGCAGCCTTTGGCTTGGCGTTTGTTGTTCTTCATTTTCCCGGCTATGCTTTTTTTCATTTCAAACGATACGAAAACGAATCGACTACCAAAAAGAAATTTTAAGGAAAATTGTTTTTTGTAATACGACTTTCCATGCCATGCCGTTTGCCTTGGTCCGGACTCCGGAATTTTCCCTTTTGTTTTCTTTCGTATGAATGTTTTTTAGTCGTAAAGAGCAATGAGAAAACAATTAAAACCCTTTTAAGCTGCTTTCCTTAATGCGAACCAAATAAAAAAACCCCCCAGTACTATATACGTATAAACCAACCAGAAAAAAGGCAAAAAGAAGATTTACCCAAGTGGAGTTAATTTTGAATTTTGTGTTTTGCCATGTTTATGCTTATAAATATTTAATAAACATATGAATAATCCTATCCGTAAGCTAAGATTTTTCGTTGTAGCTGAAATGTGAAAATGTTTTTTGATTTTTCCGCTGCTTTTTCTTTTCCATATAAATACTATTTGACCTTTTTGCTATCCAGCTGGAGAAGGATCCTGATGTTCCTCCTCTTCAGTTTTCCATTCGTTTTATTCTGTATAAATGATTGTCGTATAATAAATAATAATCGTACCATATCGAAACCGAGTCCCATCTTACCAACTAGGAAACTAACAGAAACAACCTACATTTTGCATAACCACAATTAAAAGTGAAATATATATCAAAACAAACCTCAAAATGAAACGTTTTTATTTTGAATCGTTATCCACTCAATATATCTATCTGAATAAATACGTATTTTAATATTTTACATCACTTTTCAACAACATGTATATTTTGTGAGTTTCTTGCGTTATTAAGTGTACGTCCTTTGAGTTCGTTTCGATAATCATTTAATTACATCTACTCGAATATAACATCAAGCATAGTAATCACTCTTGAATGGAATATACAATAACTCACTGGAAAACGGACAAAGTCGAACTTTGCAAGGATAATCTGGTAAAGCAAATCCCTAAGCTTCGACTTTGAGCCACACCTTTGGGATCGTAACATATTTTTGTTTTGAAAAAGTCCGACTAGAGTTAAAAGAAAAGTTTTTGGAAAGCGGGCCGCTGGGGTGACGCCTTAGTGTGTGGTTCTCCTTGTTTCCTTGCACCCCCCAATATATACACATAAGATATTTGGTTTCCATTACCATCCAACACACACAAACACACGGAGGGACTTTCCGAATGCCAGAATGCCCGGCCAAAGTCTTGGCCTTAGTTACCATAAAAACTTTATTTGTTTAAGCCGATAACAAGCCAACACATCCCCAGCTCCAGCCCCAGCCCCATAACCAGACCCAGCCACTAAACCACTAAAAATACTCTACAAAAAAAGAAACATAACAATATTTTGCATAGCATTATACCCATTTACAATAACATATAACAAATAACAAATACCGAATACAAAACTTTTCGTTGCAACCAAAAACTTTTTTAGGAAAGGATGTCATCGTTGCCTGGTTATCTATGAGAAGCATAAAAATGTGCTCCAATATAAAGAAAGTGAGTGCGAAGGTGATAGTATGTATATGCATCAGTCGAACCCATCTGCACTGGCGATGCGTAGCTCTAATAAACAAAGTGATCATAGGGGGGGAGCTCATCCCAATACGAACGGGCATTCAAGACTATCTTCATCGGATCAGTACATAATGAGATCCAATGACGATATGAATGATTGTAAGCATTAATTTTATATTTTTCTCTATATCTCTCTATCCTCTATCTCTCTAAAATAAGTTTTATGAAAAGCAAGCAAACTAAATGAAAATACAAAGACTCTATCTCCTAACTCGCTATCTCAGTTATACCAGTTATCTGTTATCATTTCATCATTTAAACCTCTTATTACTTAAACATATATATATTTCCAAGTGCTGCCTTAGTTAATCAACATGACTAACCTGATCTTATCATTTAAGCGCTATTTTCATTTCCCTCAAAACGAGAATACAAAAGTTTTTCGTTCTGTCCAATGATCAACTGAAAAGCAAAGATGAAAACACGTTCTCAATTCTTTTTTAAGTTAAGAATATTTTCGAAAACACACACAAAACAAATGCAGGATTTTGAATTAATTTCGTTACTTTCGGATTAGTTCTTTCTTTGATTTGATTTATCTTTATTTCGATTCGAAGTTTCTGATGATTTTGGCCTAAGTTCCTGTATGATTTTTGATGCAATCTTTGGTTAATTATACAAAACAAAAACAAAAACCAAAAACAAAAAAAATCTATAAAAGATACGAAACCAAACCAAACAAAAATCAAACTTGTAAATAGTCTCAAACAACAAATACTCTGCATACGAAATGAATAAAAATAACTCTACTTTGTTTACGTTTGTCATGGCAAGGGTCCTCTCTATACCTCTCTCTCTATTATATCTGGACTCACCTAACTCTTGTAATTGAAGCAATCAATCGATCAATCATGAACCGAATAACCACTCAATCAATCTATCAATCAACAAGAAGTACATATGTAACAGCAAAAAATATATATATAATCCACTAGAAAAATGATAAAAACAATAATTTGTATATTATCCAAAAACATATACACACCTTGCAATCTTATCCATGCAAAGCTAACAACCTAAACTACTCGTACCACTATTAATATTAACTACTAAATACCCAACGTTAGTGTCAATCCAATTAAGCTACTTAGTTGCGATTTTCAAGCGTATTAGCGGATTAGCAGATTAACCCGTCCCAACAGAGCAACTCAACCAATTAAAGCCAAACTCAAACCGAAACCGAAACCGATACAGAACCAGAAACAGAAACAGTAACCCAAACCGAAATGCATAGCCAAGGGCCCAGGAACAGAAAGTAGATTTGAAATAGAAACCCAGCCCAGACGATAACACCGCGCCAGTCCTAAGTTCTAATTCTAATTCTAATCGAATTGAAAGGCAAATGCCCTGCCCCCCTTCCTCGTTGAGGGAAAACTATAACCAGTTTTAGTTAAGAACTTTCGTTTCTATACTTTTCAGTTTTGTTCCTTTTCGGTTTTGTGCATTTTTTAGTTTCACCTTTACTGTAAATAATTAACATTTACAAACGAAAAACCAAATTGTGTAAATATATAAAAAGTAAAAAAAGAAAAAACCAAAAAACCGATACACGAGACTGAAAAAAAAAAACCGAATTGTTTGATCCTAAATATTTTTTATTACCAAACATTTACATATATCTAAATATATATCCATATATATTTGCAAACTCTATTCAATATTTATATGATATGTATACTTTCCTTACTTCAACATTTTTAAACAAACTCCAAAAAACCAGCAACTCTCCAAAACCCCAAAAAACTGAAAACCAAAACCCAAAATTAAAAACAACAACTACAAATCAATTTAGACCAATTCCAAGCTTAAATACGTGTGTGAGTGTGTGTGGGCCTTGTGGAGTTCGATTCAAACATCGAGAGATGAATAATAACAAACAGAACAGAGGTGTGCACACACACATGAGAAATTTGATTGGATTTTGGTTTTGAAATTTGCATATTTGAAATTTGTACATTTTTAACAGCCGCAGCAGCAGCAGCAGCAAAGTTTTTGTACAGTTCGTTTCGCGTTTGTTCCAATTTGTATAGTTCCTGTATAGCAAACAAAGCAAAAACCGAACCCCAAATGAGCACCCACACAATTGTATTTACAAACCAAACAAACTTGTATTTAGTTGCGACCCCAGACCCCAGAGATGCGACCCATCCACTCATTTGTAAATAAATCTCACCTCCAATCATGACAAACCTTTCCGAGCCCCCTCCAAAGAACTTCAATACCCAAACGCCGGACTACAAGACTGACGCAAAAAAACCTAAAATAAATAACTATCAAAATAAAATAAAGGTACGAGTATAGATGTTTTAACCAGTTTACCTTTTGTTCAAATATCTTAGATGATACAGCTTTGACGGGTGGATCTGTTCTATTTCCTCCAATACCCCCTGAGAGCCTTCGAAGAATTATTGCCCAAGTTTCTGCCTCCCTTTTAAATTATATTTTGTTTTCAGTTTCGAGTTTTTTCTATATTTTTTGTTCAGTCTATCTGGTTTCACATTCAAATCGCATTCGGTTCTGTTCAACCCACTTACTTTACTTGTAGGGCACATGATTTATTTATAGGTCGGGGGAGCTAGCTCACAGCTCGGTAAATGAAAATGGAAATTGGAAACTCTAGACTGACACCCCCACTGCCACCGAATCGAGTGTCAGAAGCAGAGTGTTTTAACTTCAATTTGAAACTTAACAATTATCTTAAGAGATGCCCCGCCTTCCTCACTACTAGAGAGACTCTATATTGTGTATATCGTTGCTGCATATTTTATTCGCATCGATAATTCGCAGTTAATTGGTGTAATCCGCTTAGTTCTTAATCAGGTGGCGAGCATTCTCTAGCTACTTCTAGAGTCTAGAGTCTACAGTCCGGAGCACCTAATTACCACAAAAATGTAATAACTAGGCGAGCGCTCTGTAGATTTAGCTTCTTCCGTGGCAAGTGCAATTAAGTTGTGGCATAAAAGTAGTCTCGGATGGATGGCACATTGCACATAATGCAAGTAGCACGGCTCGAGAGGGCCTTCGACCTTCTTACATTCTACACTCGCTTAACACACAAGCCCCCCCACTGCTATTCTCCCCCTGGTTAAGCTAAAGCTCAGTCATGGCAACGGAATCCACACGGACACGCATAGAAATGTAAATTCATTATTTATTATTTGTTTGCCTCAATAGAAATCAAATTAGTTTAAGTGGCGACCCACCGGCGGAGGCAGCTCCCGGCTCCTGGCTCTTGGCTCCTGGCTCATGTCCTTTGGCCCAGAGCGCAGTCAGACAGTTGGACTCGCATTTGAAAAACGCAAACTCAGGCCACGCCCACTTCAACCCACCCATCCATCCATCCGACCACCCATCCCATCCCCCCAACTGGCTTCACAATTTGATATTTTCCACTTGATATTTCCAGCTCGAGTCCGACTGTCTGACTGCCTGACTGGCTGACTGTTTGAATGTTTGACTGGCTGTCTTGCCTGCCTGCCCTTCGTGCCTTCCTGCCTTCCTTTTTTCCTTGATTTGATTTTGTTTAAATATTAAACGAGAGTTTTAGGTCTCATTTATAATTCAAGAGCCCGGCAGGCTCCGAATCCGCACACCCTATAGCGGGGGCGGAGTTTTCAGTTCATTTTGATTAGCAGACCGTAAAACAATGGTATCAATAGAACATTGTGATTGCGTGTGTGGATGTGTGCTCGTTCTTTATTAAATCATTATTTGTTTAGATTGTCACACACAATCCCGCACACACACTGCCAAGCACTGGGCCAAGATTAAATTTTAACATTCATGTGTGTGGTGGGTGGGCTATGGGTGTGTGTCAGTGTGAGTGTTTGTTTTGGATATAAAAGAGCAACCTCCGGGCGCTGAAAATGTTGTAAGAGCTCATCCATCACAATGTAGCTATTTTAATGCGCCTTAAATTGAGATTTTCAGCAGCATCAAGGCAGTAATAAAGTTCCTTTCAATTTGGTTACTTGCAGTCAGTTTTGCAGTTTTTATGGCCAACACAGATACAAATGTATCCTGCTCCTGAAACGCACACACTCAAGTGTAGGTGTGTAAGCCAAACAATGATACAGCCGCACATTGTGTGTTGGCTTGGCAGAGACTGTAATTGGGCTTAGACAGTCGACAGTTTCAATTACTGAAAACTTGTACATATGGGATTAGCAGGCAAAGCCTTGTTAATTGGTCTACGGCTAATGTAGTGTCGTTTTCACTCGTGTCGGGCATCAAAGGATATGCGCAAGGATACAAAGCTGCCGCCACATACATATACACACATATTGTATGTGGATGTGGATGTGGGAGAGTGCGTGCAAACGAACTGCCAATCAAATGGACAAGTCTGCTTTCCACTTTCGAATCGGAAAGCGGAATCGTAATCGGAATCCTTCAATTCATTGCCATCATTGATAATCCAATGCGAGCCATCAAAAGCCATTGCATACTTCGGGGCGTTAGCTAACTGCCATTTAAATTGCATTTTCGAGTACAAAACTGCAACTGCAACTGCAACTGCTTCTGCTGACACACACACGCTCTCACTATCACTAGCCACTTGACCCCAGCTATCATGGTCCCGACCACGCCCCCTCCGCACAGCAAACCCCTTAATTATGTTTAGCGCTTTTTATTTTCGCGAGCGCTTTTAGCCAGGCATTTGCATACCAATTTCTACCTCCACTTGCAAAAAACCCCCAGAAAATGGTAGCTAAAAAATATATATACATATACATATATATAGCTATAGTATGTACAGTCTATAGGGTTTGGGTGATGGGCACTCAATGATGGCCGGGCCGCAGCGTTTTAATTGCAGTGTCGAAGCGTAGGCGGTATATGAAAATAATTAAAATAATTAAGCAAAACTACGGCATCCAAGCACTCACCTTTTGAGGACCTGCGATACCCCTCCTTGATGTCCGCCTCTGCCTCCTTCTCGATTCTTGAGCTCCCTTAACGTTTTATATTTTTCCTTGTACATTTTTTTGGTGAATTTTCCACGTTAATTTTTTGCAGATTCGCCATGTTTTCGGGCATTTTATTATGCGTTTCTGTTTTTTCCTCTCGTTTTATATTTTTTGGCTTTCGGTTGGCCT